AGTTCATGGATTCAAGAATTCTAGGATACTGCCAGGGCGCCCACACAGCAGAACGATTAGGAGCCACATCCAAAGCCTTTGGCTCAAAAGCCTAACCGCAAGGCATCGGTGTTCGGCTGGAAATGAAAGTACATTAACTTTTTTTACGGAACGCGTTGCTATACGTATTCCAGCCTCCAACCTGGAGGGCCAGGAGACTGTGTTCGTCGGACCTGTACCCATGGACCAACCTGGTATGAGAGACTATGTGAGCATTGGCGGACACTCCCATGGACCAACCTGGTATGAGAGACTATGTGAGCATTGTGCGGACACTCCCCAATATAGTTCAATGGGTCGTCGAGGTACACAAACCGCCACACCATGGTAAAGACCAGTCTCTTTGTGGCCACAAGCAATGCGTCTTTAACATTTTTTTCTTATCATGTTTCATCTGAGCCTTCCTGCACGGAGCGTGGCTGGAGCCATGCGACCTTTCATATATCCAACTGTTGTTAGCTGAGCCTAACCTAGTGCTTAATTCGGGTGTTTTGTCAACTGTATGCCGATCGTTTTACCTGATGAGTGACGTTAATTTTTTGAAGCGAAAAACGGTCAAATGGCCACAAACCGGCACTATTTTGATCCCAGTCGAGGTTTCATCCTGTAAATGAACTCAGTTTACGATGCAAAGTATTCTGCACAGAAAATAAAAAAAAATTCCCACAGGTTGTATGAACCTTCCATCTGAGAAGGCAACTGGTGCCAGCCGACACGTGACCAATTAATGTGAATTACCTGGCTGTCTAATTGCAACCTCATCACATCGCTGGTCAGTTGCTTGCGGCGAAACGGTTATTTTCAACCACTAACCGAAGTGTTGCAAGTTCGAATCACCTAAGAGATTCGTGAAATTTGCTGATGGCTCTCGGCTTTTCAGCATAGACTGGTTTCACCTTTTCATGGTGTTATCAAAATTTTTTCTCAGTCACTATTCACCACAATCGCCATTATGCAAGTCAGTCGGTGACCCTGAAGGCCGTCTCTCACCTGCTGGCTGTTGTCAGTGAGCCAAGAGGATGCGCATCCACATTCACACAGCAATTTGCTTGTAGTTTATAAACCAGGTCAACGGGTACCCCGGCAACTACCTAGGAGTTGAACTAAAGATGAGCTACTTCCGATTCCATGCTTCTTCGTTAATTGCCCGTTTCTGTGTGGTAATTTATGGATCAGTGTCCTCAAATCCAACGTTTGCTTTGATGTGGCTGGAATTAACGGCTTACAAACCAGGATGTCAATCTATTCCTAGAGCAACCCCGCCTAGGTTATCCTTGTTACCATGGGACCGACAACAGACACAGATTTCTCAAATGTGTCGCAATCAACTTGGGTGTTCAAACATATCCGATCCGTCTCGGTCAAGCTTCGGATGAGAAGTTGCTTCGATGTTGGAAGGAGAGGCGATAAAAAACAGAACTTCGCTCGATTTTTCAAGGATGTGGGGGGACTAATACGGTGGAGCCTGAAAGTAGACAGTTTTTAAGGTGGACGGGCAACATAATGAAAACCAAGTTGATATAGCCTAACGTGGGTGTGGCGTAAAGGTGCGGAACTGCTAATCAGGTGATGACTATGCTGATCGATATCGAGGGGGGGGACAGAGTGGCATTTGCATCTGGTCACTGAAATCCCTTCCACCCCAGTGCCGTCTATTTATGATTCAGGATAGAGTTGCTGATTGTTTTATTGTGTTTCTTAGTTTCAGCACTTAATTTGTATAAGTACACAGAACACACGTAACCGTGAGGTTTGACGTACTCCAACAGTCTAGTTTGGTAGATTCATTAGTAGTATCTTTTAATCTGTTTGACTCCATATCGCAGTTCCTTAGCTAACCGCCTTCGCCATTTCGCTGTCTATATTCATGTGTCCTCAAAACTTTACGCCCTTTCCAGTGGACTGGTTGAACCCATCTCAAAGTCTTCGGCAGCAGGGAATAGAGGAGAACGAAGTCTTGCTGCTCAAGCGGCGCTATTTCTTCTCCGATATGAATGTGGATGCTCGTGATCCGATCCAGCTGAATTTGCTATATCTGCAGGTGAGGCCTCGGTTCGTTTTACTACTGACAAACTTTGCTTGCCCAAGGCCCTGTGTCGGTTGTTTTCTTGATCACAAAACACAAAATGGGAGCTTGAATATCTGTTTTTTTTAGGGGGGGGGGGTAGGGAGGATGTACCATTTCCTTCCTCCTTACGTATCTTTCTCGCGCCGACAAACCCGATGCTTAAGTGCGTATGGGATATAGCTAGACAAAAATGGTGGCCAATGGGAGATCACACTGCACATCCCCAACTCGCTGACAAAAACCATTGTGTGCTAGCGAAACCACGCGTGAATCGCGGTTTCCTTGCCTTTTCGTGAATTCCGGTCTTTTGCTTATCGTCTGGGCAGCCTATTAGGGTTTTGCGGGGTAGTATGAAAGAGAACTTCACCGTAATGCTGAAATCTAGCTCGTTCTGTGACCGATTTCACTGCAAAGCATCAAAACGTGTCTATCGCTGGAAGAGTGGTGATCAAGGGGCTCTTTTAAATTGTTCGCCTTTCGATTTGAACTTTTTTATTCAGACACCCACTGCTCATGAGTCAGTTTCTAGCTGTGATCGTTTTCAAAACCGGTGAAGTTCCAACCTTTTCCTACTCCAGTTTGCTATGAACGCTGAGTTCATGTGTGTAGTCAGTTTAGATTTTATACGCACGCCAGGTATTGGGTTCCAATATCTATTTCAGCCAATCACTTCTTTCGGTGTTTCTCCCACCTTCTTGAAAAGCAAATGGAGATGTAATGATATCATACTGAATGAACTCTTTACTTTTCTTCAGTTGTTTTCGAAAAATCGGTAACATTGACTTGGGTAAACTGTACACTGACCGGAGCTTAGCCCTGACATTCTTTGTTTTCTTTGTTTGCGGGACAGATCGCAAGTCAGCTATTGAACCCCATTTGCTTTCTTCAGTTGTTTGTGGTGAGGCCCCACCAATCGTCATGTCTAATTGCGATACTTGATCCGATTTTGGCTGTCTCGTTTGCTCGTGTGTTCCGATGCATAACGGAAAAAACGCTGCCCGTTTTGGCCAAACCAGGGCATATTGAAACAGTATTTTAATAATCTTGAAATAGTAATAATACTAATTCAGCTACAACAGTCCATCTATGCCTAGCTGCCATAGCAACCTGAGATACTGTCAGGTGTTCTAAGCCAAGATAGGAGTAGTCGAGATGCCGGAGATGAGTTTGAACCACTCACCTTCCAGTCAGTAAGTCAACGCGTGAACCACTGAGCTAACTCGAGCACCAAACAGTAATTTGATTTCATGTAACTGGGATCGTGTGACCAGCGGTCACCTGACGCAGCGCGTTTCTTAAGCACTTTTCTTTTCCATGTTCTGCTTTCTGTGGATGTCATTCATCGTTGTTTTTGTGCATTCATTTGTGAAACCAACCCTAAATTACATATCCCACCTATATCTTCCCCTGCTTCTATGACTGTGCTACCATGGCAACCGCTGTGTGGCGTTGTATCTCCCTACGAAAGTTTCCCTTATCGCTGTTTTGTTTGCATTCCCACCGAACCCAATTTAGCTGAAAGATGCAATTCTCAAAGGCACACATCCTGTCTCACAAGAAGAGGCTATCTATCTCGCAGCTCTCCAGTGCCAGATTCAACTCGGTGATTGCAACCCAGAGAAGTTCCGAGCCAATTTCCTCGAGTAAGTCGAGTCAGCAGTTTTTTGTCACCGTTTGCTTGCTATGCACGTATGATGCATGCTTCCTGGATGTGATTACAGTTGACCTCAAGAATCAATCGTTTCGTACGTCTGCTATTGTTACTTCTGCGGGCATTTATCATGACACAATCCGGACGATGGAGTTTTACTACTTCGACTTAATTTTTCAGGCGGCTTTTGTAAGTCTCTTTCGAACACCAGTAATAAAAATAATCGTCCACTTGTTCTGCTGTTTCGGAGCATTCGAAGGGAGCATGAGGGCTAGAATACTGCCATGTTATCCAAACCAAGACAGGAGCAGTCATCAAGCCGGAATTGGGTTCGCATCACATATCTTCCGACCAGTAGCTTCGTGCCTTAATCGTTATATCCTCTTGGTTTGAGAAGTTTCCTGATCATGATCAGTACTGAACCCATATCCTCAATAGGACGGCTGTACGTCTGAGTAGTGGACAGCTGGTCACCAGTGTGGTCCTGATCGATGCGCCGATTGTCCCCAGTGGTAATGCACAAATTTTTTAGTTCCCCGAGGATGTTTGATTGTGTTTAGTTGTGTTCCCTCTATATGGATAAAGTAGACGCACCTTTCACGGCTATATTTCCTAATATCTTCGTTCTTTTTTCCTACACTGGAGAACTACTGCATTACCTGAGTTATTAGGTATGTGTTCAAAAATTCGTGAATGCGCATATCACGTGACGCTTCCATGATACTCATGTGTGTTATAACCACGTCTAGTGCTGTCACGTCAAGGTGCGAGAATTCCCTCAAGTGTACTTGTACAAGTGAATGGAAAGCACTTGAGACCAGTTCTCAGCAATGCGTACTATGTGTTCTGGAGTATCTTCGGTCGCTAGTCCATCTATGATAAATCTGATGGGGACCGCTTCCTCGTGTTTCATATCGCTCGTAAGCACGGGATTTTAAACTAATCTGGATTCAATAGGTGCTATTAACGTTTTATTTTACATGGAAAAGTGAGGTGTTCGTTCTTTCTCCATAGATATCTATCAAAATGTCGGAAACCAGTAGGTTAATACTAATCGCATATCAGATTGGTGACATGCATACCCTCTGTGGATAGTCGACGTAAGATTGGACTTTCCGCATTTACGTGGTTCAAAGCGCTCTAATGGACTCAAAACCTCGGAAAGCCATCGATTAGGCTTTGTAGCGTTCATTCGGAGGAGACAAAAAACGTTCAGCTGTAGCACCCTTTCGGTGCCTAACTGCCATACCACCAGCGGGTTGCACGAGGGCTGGGATACTGCCAGGTTGCCCAGTCCTAGACAGGGGAAGTCGAGAGACGGAGGTCGGGCTCGAACCACGGACCTTCCGGTCAGGAAATTCGCGCTCTAACCACTTGAGCCATCTCGCCCAGTCGGTAGAGCATGGTACTCGGAAGAGACAGACTGGAGTAAGTTCAGGTTCCAACTACAGCGTAACATGAGATTGTACAAACTGCTTGATACTGCATAAAACAAAGTTAGATGTGTTGTAACAGAATTCGCAACGTTGAGGCATGCATATTTAAAGACAGTGGAAATCTGTAAAGATAGTATGCCAGCTACTACTACCTGGTCAATTGGACCGGAGTGAACAATGCTCCTAGATGTCGCAAGGTATCCAGAGTAACTAAACTGAATGAAACCCGGTCACTAAAACATAAGATGGGTGTTTCGACCATATCATGTGGAGTGTTGATGAAAAGAACTTCGTGTAAACCCACCACTTGATAGCGCTATCATCCTCCGCGTACCGTATCAAAACTTGTCTCTTAATTGGTAAAAAGAGAAAGTGTTGGAAGTGAAGAATTTTCAGCAACCTCGTGAGTCATTTTCTTTATGAGAACATTACCCGGTTCGGTCCTATTCCGAATGGGTATGTTGACTTGATCAAGACCATGAGAATAACACAATGGGTAACTGGCTTCAACGGCCACACCCCTTCTATCCAGCCCAAAACGCAAAAATTGTTGTAAAGCACCGAACACAGACCTAATCATGTTAAAACTGCACGAAAGATCCTGGAGGCAGTCTAGTTGATTGCTCTGATAAAGCAGTTAGGACTAACTGTTACACAAATTCGAATGGTTGTTGATGAGTCCAATGTACAAAACGATGTTCATGCCAAATTCATCATAAACTTGATTAACCCACAGGGCGAATTCAAGGGCCTAAGTTGCTTACCGATAGTCAAACGGAAGTCAGGCAAGTAAACAACACGGTAGTTAGCTGTGAAACATTCAGATGCCGCACAAAATAGTGACGGGCGGATCCATGGTGTGTGATCGGATCACCGAATCGAAAATGTCACTCGTTCACCGAAAATCGATCTCTTGGCATCATTTAGTGGGACATTGGTGCCTCGAACTGATCACACCACAAAAAGTGGATGGATTGACGCTTCCCTCAGTGCCTGCATACATATCGTGGTCCGATGAATGCCATTCATTCATCTACCAACAATCGGGAGGACCTCACTGCTACTTCAATACGGTGCGTAACATACTGTCATCGACGGGCGGTTTGAATGTGTCCAACGAATGCCTATCTCAGTGGTATGTTTTTTTCAGTCCATAACAAAGTGGGAGACGTTCTTGTACAGTATCCGTCCGATTGTTCGGTTTATATTTCGATCAATCAAGCATACCCCTCGAGACAGCTGTTGATGATACGTAAGCGCACGCATCGCTCCATTCGACCCTAAGGCACTTCGTGGTTTCCAAACAGTTAGTCCATTCGCTGGGCATTTCACAACAAGCAGTGTGCATGTGAAAACGCATTCGCCGCGCCACAAGCTGATTGTCGATGACTCACCATAGTGGGCCACGGTATCAATGTCGGTCGATCTATTCGCCCGTCTCCTTAGGGCGAGCGTGGGCCGAGGCTGGTTATGCGAGGGCCGTGTCGTGGTAAGGCCATAGTTGGGTTATGGCGAATCCACCAATCGTCCTTGCATTGGTTTGAAGCCTTTCATAGCCTATTCTTCAGAGCCCAAACAAGGATTGCATGATACACCGATAAAGCTGTCTTCCACAAAGTTCAGATTAGTATGAAACTAGAGTAAAACCGTTCAGCCGTAACACCCTTTCGGTGCCTAGCTGCCATGCCACCCGAAGGAAGCACGAGGGCTGGGATACTGCCAGGTTGCCCAAGCCTAGACAGGGGAAGCCAAGAGGCGGAGATCGGTGCGTCGATACATACTATTGATTCCAGGTAAAATGTTATGACCCCGACCGTTTCATTAGGGATCAGACGTTTGGAGTGACTGTTAGTTATCCGAGCCTAGACCATGGAAGTCGAGAGGCAGAGGTCGGGTTAGAACCACGAACCTTCGGGGCAGTAAATTCGCACTCTAACCACTGAACCATCTCGCCTCCGAAACTTAGAGTACATAAGTAGAACCGGATTTTGTACAATCATGAAACTGCAGGTACACAACTTCACGCAGGAAAAAAACCTAACCGAAGTACCATGTCCTCGGGAACAGTCTAGGATATACCGTTTTAAATGTGTTATCGCATTGTCTGACGCTCAAGAGACATTCCCGATTGTACGTTTTGGGATACCAGTCCAGAGTTTGTTCAGACAGCGCTTTGCGGACATGTGCACAGAATCGTACTCCAAAGCCCAAGGTTCTTCCAATCTAACTGGATTCACATATATAGATAGATAGACTGCTCTATGACCAGAGGCGTTGAGCTTTTCCTTTAACCACCTGGCATGTTCGTAGCTTCAGCATCACCTTGGCTATTTTGAACACTTCGTTAAAGTGGCGTACGACTGTGGACGAAATATCGTTTCCTCCGGGAGATAATGCGATTGAATGCTATTGAAATCAGTATTGCCTCAGCTTTAGGTAGACAGTGAAATCAACTTGCTTTCGTTTATGTTTGTACTGTGTAGATAAGTTTGAATCTAGGCTCGTGGCCAGTCACGTGACCCGTATTGGCCAGATACGTGGCCATAGATCGCGTAACCTCTTTGTTTGCTTCAGTTCAGATTCAGAAAGTACAGGCTCTAAAATTCAACAAATACACTCATTTGCATACCAATTTGGTTTTCACGGGAGGGTCATCTGAATCCCAGCTGAATCTTTCGCTTGAAGAAGAACATCAAAAGCCAGATATCTAGCTGGGATTCATGTGAGTCTTCCATGAAAACTAAGTTTGTGTGTGAATGAGTCTCCAAGTCAATTTTCGTGCATTTTGGGTCCAAGTATAACACGTTTGACGGGGACTGCGCACACCTGCCCTAGCGGGATCGAAACCGGTGGTGGGCTGTCGAGGAGTTGGGCTCTATGCTTCTTCAGTGTTACTGCTTGTCTTTATCCACCATACTCTGATGTGCTGCAACGGGTGAATGAGTTTATAGCGTGGATGAACAGTTAGTGTTTGAGATGAACCCCTCGACAGCAATATTTGGCGAAGCGTTTTTTGTCAGTGCGCTATGGCTATGTCAGATAATTCTGCTTTTACTCGAATTTCAGAAGCAACGAAGCCTCTGCCCACCCTTCTGCTGTAAGCTTGATTACTCTATGTACCGATTTAAAACACCTCAAGATGCATATTAAGCCATCTACAATAGGCAACGTCTCATTCACTTAAAGCGTATGAATGTCTATCTTCGATATTCGTAATTTGAACTTTTGGTGTTCTAGACGACCGGTAAGTATGTCATCCTGACGAAGATTTCAGTGTCATCCAGTCTTCTTGTGGACGCAGACTGTCTATTTTCCTTCGCAAAGAGAAATTTGGCAATTTCTGTGCCGTAATTGTTATTGGTTGCCGAAAATTCCTCTGCTTTGTTTTGGACCGACTTGACTAATTGGGTCTCCATCTAAGTCCTCCGTTTCTTGGAATCCTCCCTCAACAACGAATTCCTTATTGCAACTTTTTACTATTTATCATTTGCTCACTCCGGTCGATCAATGAGCGGTACTGAATGCCCATACATCGGCTCTGTTTTTCTCACTCTTCTTTTATGACATTTTCAAATCATCTCATCTGTCCCAGATCATATGATGGTTTGTCTTTCATCTCTTCCCGTGCACGTCTCAGTTTGAAAGATCTACTGCCCAAAGAATATGCGAAGATCCGCAGTTTGGAGAAGAAAATTCTGCAACAACACGCCGAGTTCACGGGGCTTTCGGATATTGAAGCCAAGGTCAAGTACTGCCAGTTTTGTCGGTCCCTAAAAACCTACGGAATAACATTCTTTTTGGTGAAGGTAAGCAGAATTGGCTTCAGTCTTCACTCCCACATTTGCAGTCCAAACAATTGGGGACATAAGTTTTTTGGGATGCCCTAGTATCACGAGTACTTCGCGTACACTTATTCCACAGTTTGTTCGGTGATGCATCTCCAGCTCTTGATCTGTAAGAAATCGCATTATGAGACGGACCGAAATTCTTCTCCTTAGAGAACATCTCCTCCGGTGCGTGCGAACATATGTACACTAACCTATTGTTCGCTTCACTCCCTCCACTTTCGGGACTGACATCGAATGGATTGACTTTGGTCGCTAGTACACCAACCTAATGAGATACGATGGTGATTTCGACTCTCGTCAGACCCTAAAACCTTCTGTTCCTGTGGATCACGAAATAGCGCACTGTTTGAGGCGCGAATCCCATTGAACAGGAGTGCCGCCGTTCCAGCTATCTATTCTCGGACAATCTGGGAATATTACAGTCCTCACGTTTCATTTGTCTCGGTATCAGCTGTACGCCGAAAACACATGACTGTCGATTTCGGCCCACGCTACACTATACTTTCTCGTAGTAGGAGCGAATTTATTTAGCCTGTCCGAACCACTTCATCAAGAGCAGCACACATAGATCATGCGCTCTTATACCACTTTTCTGGAAGTAAGATTTGATTGATGTACATCTGACCGAGACTAGACTAGGTTGTGAACCGTTCTGTCGTCCCCCACCATATTATGTATCTTTCTGTCTGACTTACACTCTCCAGTGTGGTTCACCTCGATTTCTCCTTCATCAATAGTCTCGCCAAAGAAAACATGACGCTCCACTTGCTTGGAGGTTTAATTACTCTTTTACCGTATGCCGTTTGGCAGAAATTATCCGAGGACGTCCTGCTATACTTCGTCTGTTCACAAGCATACTGGCATAAGTTGTGACTCACTCAAGCTAATAAAGTGTTGTCGGATCTGACAGCGCATGCATTCGATATAAGCCCGATAAAATTATCGGTCAGTGTAGAAATTTGGTTCGTACAGTGTTTCTACCCAGAGTAAAGTTCTTGTGGCTACATTTCAGCACGAACCTCACATGTTCGTAACGCTATTGTATTGGCTTATTATCCTCCTTCGAGGGAACACCTTCGGATCGTTTCTCCGAAGTATTGGTCATATATGGTGGGAACATTGGATTAGTAATGCTGAGGTACGCCAGGTGGTCTTAGGAAGGAGGAACTCTCCGGCGATAGGTGAGTTACTCACGCTTTATAGTTAACGCTGTTTGGGACATGTACTCCGCATGCCAGAAGACCATTTGCCTCGCAGAGCTCTTTTCGCCGAGCCCTGTGCTGGAAGCGACCGAGAGGTGGAAAATGTATGACCTGGCAACAGAGTATGAAAACACTGACGGGAGAAGAGAGTCAGGTCGGCAACTGCCGCCTCCCTGGTTGGGGACCGCGGGACTCAGCTCATTGGCAGAAATGGCCCAATCGCGCAGTCAGTGGTGCTTGTGCATCAAATTTATTGCGTAGCTACTCAGTTCCCTGAACTAACTGAACGTGGCATCGCCCTGAGGCTTGGCTGTATCTCCCACACTCCCATTTTCCGAAACTGTAGCGGCTTTAACCAATCTGCCTGTAGTACACGGTTTATAGCTGACAAATTGATCGAGTGAACGACTAATTGTGGGGCTATATAGTGTGCCCTCACTGGTTCTGAAAAATATGTTCCCTCGCAGAGAGAATACTGTATCAGATCTCTGCTCCAATTAAATCGAACCGAAACGAAGTGCGCCACGGCATACCTATAAGCAACCAAATACAACTGGAATTTCTCCACACCAGCGTAGACAGCGAGGTGCTTCTTAGTCACTCTAATCACCAAAACATATTTCCGCCAAAGAAGAATTTCGGTGTATTTCGAAAATGCACAATCGAACAGAAGAGCTCTACTGTAGATTGAGCAGTGGGGTCATGAGACGTATTCTTTTGATCTGCATGTGTTTACCCATATTTTCCACCTCACATTATAATCGGAAGATGGCGGTATTACAGCTGTTCTTCAGCTGTAAAGGCCCTGTTGGTGTCGTGGTGCCATGCCACCCGAAACAAACAGGAGGGCTGTCCAAGCCTAAACGGGATTACGAGTCCAGCAAAAGTTTCCGAATGTTGGATTAATGTCCACCTTTTGTTAATGCAGTGAAGCGACTTCTAGCACCAAAGCAACAGTTGTGTGATTCAAAGTTTCTCTCACCTACTGGTAGTTGGTCCCTTGCCTTTGATCGATCTACGTGCATTCCTCAGCACGACTAACCTATCGGTGACCCCGGTAAGTTTGATAACATTCTCTTTGGTTGTTGTCCGTGTATCCTTCCACTTCATGCGACCGTATTCTGGTGGCCTATGTTATCTTCTTTCATTCGAACCTGTCAGGAACGTATCAAAGGCAAAAACAAATTGATACCCCGTCTGCTTGGGGTCACCAAGGACAGTGTGATTCGGTTGGACGAGAAAACGAAGGAGGTTTTGAAGATTTGGCCATTGACTTCAATTTCGCGCTGGGCGGCCTCTCTCCACGCATTCACCATGGTGAGTCATTCTTAATACTTGTTTTGGTGGATTGTGCATATATACACGTTCTGCCGCCAACCAATCATGCGTACATGTTTCTGTGTGACCTCGTTGCAATCTTGTCATAAATGTGAACAAAGACACTTGATTTGTGTTGTCTGGTCAAGTTAAGTTCTTGCAGACCGGTGACTGCCTTCCTTACATTAACGCCACAGACTTGTCTGACACCTGCCCTACTGTGCCGAGTTAATCGCCCCATCTATACACCATCACCCTTACCTTCGATACGAATCGGTTTTCTGGAGGCACACCACCGTTTGTTTCCCTTTTCAAGGGGAAAGCAATATGTCCACCAAAGGCAAATAGCACTGCAGGTAGTGTGGAACACAAAATACTATCCTAGCCACCCTCTTTTCCCTTCATTCCCTAACCTGCTTCGAAAGCATAGCTGGGAATGTTGCATACTACCCATCGGAATTTCGGACAGACATGAAACTCCAGTTGCCACGCGAGATATGGTTCTAGGGAACGAAATACTGTTCAAGCTACCGTGGACCGTCACTAGAAATGATCACATTAAACGAACTAACATTTATTCTCTTTAACAAAATCGGCTTCGCGGTTTATAAGATTCACACTACTGGTGAGTCCCAGCGAGGATGAAATGACTTCGCCGTGTAGGACGAAATCTAGAATTGAATCTAGGATCTCGTCAATACTAGCAAATATATGTAATCTGTCCGTAGAAGTAAGCATCCCGCAACAATACTTTTAGGCGTAGGTCAGCCTTGTCGCATCAACAAATTAATAAACGAAAAACATCTCCCCGACCAGATTTCTTTCGTTCCTTCCATCATATTTTAGGCGGTTCATTAATGTGTTTAAGATTTTGGCTGTCTTCCTGAATCCGGTAGTCCCTGGACATTCAAATCCCGGCCAGTATTGTGAAGCGACAAGCATGATTTTTTAGACGGTATTCAGCTGCCCACCAGTAACGCACTGGGGGATTCGCGTTACTTACGCGCTTACGAGCCTGTTGATTTTCTTCTCTATGCATTTCGAAATAACACTCAGCAAAAATGACTTCCCAAACCAACAAGAAGGCTTGATGGGAGAAAAACCGACCACTCTCCTTCTATATCATTCCAGTAGCTCATCCGTTCATCCGGACCGCCAAAATTGTACTCTTCTTGATCACTCATGACCACCTGTTCTCATGCACACTTCTAGAAGACTTTTTCTTAAATATGATTGTTATATTGTCATAAGGCCGTGTTTGTTTTCATGAATTCGACATGCGAAACTGTTCGCAGAAGCTAATGAACACCACAGGCTGACATGCGCCGACCATCAGTGTGACACAACACGCGGGAGCAGTTTTCTCCGTTTTTCCTTCATCTCTATGCATTTACTCTTGAAGCATATTTCTGACCGTTGGCTGTGTAGGCATGCAATATCTACCCCAAGTAGCACGTCTTGCTTGCTGATCCTGGAATAAACCAACTTATCGAGTATCGCTGGATAAGCTGGGCGAATGTGCTACGTTGATGTCTCATAGAGTAAAATGGTGCTTTGACAATGTGGCTACCAATCCGGGTGACCTCACCAACGTCTCATACACCACTGGCACCGCTTCCATGCTTGGATTTTTGTGATTCCAAATCGACACCCAAACATGAGTTTGGAATTCATTTGGTTAATTTCCATCCTTCCCATTTCGAACGTCCTGCTTTTAAAGTGCGAAATTTTCGTCGAAGTTGTGTTGTGTTCCATAGCGTTTTGATCTGGTAAGCGGTGTTAGTTAACTTCAGGGCTGTGAACATTTGATCTGGTAAGCGGTGTTAGTTAACTTCAGTGCTGTGAACATCGGAACTGGGAAAGTCTGGAACTGAGCAACTGTCTGTCGAAACTTACGTAATGGCCGTCGCAGCGTTAGGTTGGAAATGTTTTGATGGATAGAAGTGGCCCGCCATTTCAAATGACTTGAATCTGCCACACTGTCCAAGTCCGTTTGAGTCTGTCTCAAGAATGGCAGCTTTAACAATCCAGTTGCGAGATCAAGTCACTGATGACCTTGTCAGTCATTTAGACGAATGTTATCGTTCGAATGGTTATTGAACATCACGTAAGCGGAATGACTGAAAGGATTTTATTCCCCATAGACTCAAGGCCGCTGCCCTGCTAACCGTTCATCTGTAACTTAGTAGTAGTACTCACACTCCCATCCTGGATATTGCGGATTGGAATTCCGCTAGAGATTTGTGAGGTGTACACCGATGATGATTCTCAACCAGGACTAAATGCCTGTGCTTTTTCGAATCTGTCTTGAAGGATGAAATTCAGATGTGAAAATCATTCACTTGCATTGTGCAATACGGAAACGCAAGTTCCGCCACTGCAGCTATCGACCAATGTGTTTGTTACGCATGTTCCGATCATCACAATTGCTTGCATTGAATTACTCACTTTCCCGGCTATCCAGAACTCCCTATTCTCAACAACTGGTGCAACACTGTATACTGTTGATGAAGCATATGAGTAGTATCTGGTCTGATGTCCAAGCTCGCTCCTCTCATGCTGTGGACAGCGAAGGTTACTATGAAAATAACTTTGGAGCGAAGGGCATTCCTCCTTCAATGGGATCCCATCCCTGCAGCTGTTTTCCCCACAGGCTTTTCACATCTCGGCCTACCCGGTTCATGTCTATGGTATGATGAAAATCGATAGGTTTCACGCATCTGTGCGAGTGATCGGCATACCGACCGTGCACGGAAATATCTTAGGTTCATTAATAATCCCGGAATTCAATCTGGTTATCGCTCCTATCCTGCTTCATTTTCTAACTACCCAGTGTTGTATTGAAAAATATTGCATTGGCGCATGGGAGAGTGAGTGGAACGAAATTACGGACTAGGTCACAGTGACTTGCATCACCGACTTCAAATTGCAGTCGTCTGAAAGTCAGGTGGCTTTAGTTGACTGACCGGGTCCTTTTTTTTGTGACGTGATATTATATATGTCGTAACTACTCTAACAGGACCCACAGGACTTACATAGAGTAGTATAAACGCTACAAACGAACTTTGATTCAACCCGTTCGATGTCAGTGTACATCCGGTTATCTAAATCAGTTGTTTTTCCCTCTGTTGAGCTTGGCAAGTAACATTCAACACACTAGTGGAACATGAATTTGGATCGACTACTGAATTCTGTCAGATTGTAAGCTTGAGATGGCTCAATAATTGAAGCGCGAATTTACTGACCGAAGTATTCGTGGTTCGAACTCAACCGTTATAGGCTTGCGCAACCTGGCATTAATTCAACCTTCCTGCTTGCATTCGGGTAGCATAACAGCTAGATACTGGAAGGTTGTTGCAGCTGAAGGATTATGTTTCTGATTATCTTTTGATTGCTTTATTCCCATTTCAGGATTTTGGCGAGTATTCTCCAGACGACTGTTACACAGCTCAGACGTCGGAGGGAGAATCTGTCAGATTGTAAGCTTGAGATGGCTCAATAATTGAAGCGCGAATTTACTGACCGAAGTATTCGTGGTTCGAACTCAACCTCTGTGTCTTGACCGCTTCTTTCTAGGCTTGAGCAACCTGGCACTAACTCAGCCTTCGTGCTCGTATTCGGGTAGCATGACAGCTAGGTACTGGGAGGCTGTTGCAGCTGAAGGATTATGTTTCTGATCATTTATCTGATCTCATTTTTCTGCTTCATACTCATTCCAGGATTTTGGCGAGTATTCTCCGGACGACTGTTACACGGCTCAGACGTCAGAGGGAGAGCAGATCTCACAACTTATTGCTGGCTATGTGGATATAATCACAAAGAAGCAAAAGGCAAAGGACTACCCAGGCCTACAAGGTGACGAGGAATCTGCCATGTATGAGGAGAACGTTCGGGCAGAAAAGTAAGTCAGGCTCATATCACATGTTTACACAGTTTTCCACCAAAGCGTTGTATTTCTTTTGTGGGGCAAGCCTTGTCACTGGAAATGACAGGCATAATTCCATATTGTGTGGCTGATTGAGATAGGTACGCCTCGTGTCGGTCCCGATTTATTCGGTTAAGATTTTCGAATCTCACACCTCACGGCCACAACAAAAGTTATCTCAAAAGGTAGAAAAGTTTTCCTAGTGTACTTGAGCGGATTGTTCATTCATCAAGAACGCTCGTGTTCACCTTTTTCACGCCTGGTCGGCTGACCATGTGCTCTTCGGCTAGTCGGTTCTCGTGAGCATTTACTTGAATCGATATTCATGCACCAGACTCATCAGTTGCTCGTGTAGCTTGTCTGTTGGCAAACCATGTGGGAAGTAAAGTACGTTTTTAAATGTGACTGCAAACCAACGTAGTCGAATGTGAATTAATCCTGATGATGTGCTCACTTGTTTGCTGTTTGAGGAGTGTCTTAGCTATGCCTTGGCGATAACGCCATGTGCTGTTACAACCAAAACGAATATATAATCTGTTTCTTGTGTGCTCACAGCGGTTTTTATATACACAGTGATTCCATACAGTGCTCTTTATAAATCAGGAACAAATTGGCAGAACACTTCTGGGAGCATACTTGTTCCATCCAGTCGTACGGCAGTAAGTGATAGCATTTCGGTCAAAGCTGTTCTAGTGACTGTGTCGATGGGACCTCCGTAGATCTTAGTGTCAAGTGCTAGGAAGGAGTGTCAAGGCAGTGGTTAGGACTATACTTTTTCTCAATGCTGGGGTCTCTAATTCAGAGTATGTGATAAGTGCTGCGTGGATTCGCAAGTCCCTGATGGGAGGGCCCGTGCTTTGACTCCAACCGTAACATCTTGGTTGATCTCGTTCAGAAGTAAACAACCTAACTCACCTACTTCGCTTATTTACCTTAAGACCTCCCGTCCAACCTTCGGTATTCTCACTGCAGTAAAATCCGGGTTTGTTAAAAGCAACGAGTCAGTAGTGCATATTTGCGCTTAATTTTTGGTGGGTGTAACTCCCGCGCAACGGACGATCTGAGCTCCCTTGATTGCGGTCGTTTATTCATGGCCTTCGGTGAATCGTTTGCTCACCACCATTCATTGGATGAAAGGGATCCGAACGCAGTTCAGCGCCAGTATGTATTGCAGTCGATGACGATGAATGATGATCCGAAGTAGGCCAGACCTCCAATCAGTAAGACCCCAAGAAGGCTCAATCCTGTTAGATGCTATAGTGTCCCTGAATAAGTCGCTGGGATAGGATTATATCTCAATGGTTGTCCGGTCCTTCTATGCTGTTCTTCTTGATCGCCTGAAGCGCGCTGCGAACTATTCATAATTTCACCAACCGCAATAGCCTCAACGACTATGTGGCTTGAATTTCTCGGAGCCCTATTATAGACATCGTTTGCCATTAAACTTCCATACAACTGCACTCGAGTGTCTCATTGTATCGTATCAGTTCAGTAAAGTGGTAGCAGATGTTCCTCACCTTTATCATTCCCTCAAATGGACTGCTTCTTCACGCATCGGCATAAACTGTTTTACAAATTCAACAAGATTAAGTGGATCTAATCGGTTATCCGATAAAGTTAACACCTCGGTTAGTGTTGCCTTCATGCGATTCGTTTGTTAGTATGTATGTTCGCCCATTGATATTTATGGTCCCCGCATACTTTTTATTCATGGGAAGGATCGTAAAACCGCGACTAACTAGGCAGTTCAGTAGGGAAGTTCTCTGTTTTTCCCCACAGACTGTCTGACTATTGTAGCTGCACTAGCTATCAAAAGTGTGCTAGTTCTTCCTATCTGTGATGAGAAAAACTTGCAGCCTGCTGGCTTCTTAATGTCAAGTTCTATTCAGCCCAGCCGTGTATGGTGTAATTCTTAGACAGCATCCGGTTTTTGTTTCGGACCAACAAATGTTGACACGTTCGTGTTGGACCACTATCCACTAGGTTCGATAGTAACTTGGTTTTACCCAAACAGCTGAAGGTGAAGCGGTCCCTGATCATGTCATGAACTTCCGCTAACAAAGACAACATATTAATGCGATTTGTCTGGTTCTGTTTTAAATCCCAAAGTTAAAAGCGACATCTATTGTTCTGGAGGACTCGTGCGTACCCCCAATCTACTGCTAAAATGTCAGGCCCCAGTTTTCGCTACTCTAACTAATCAGAAGTCCATATACTCGATTTCGGATTGTCTTTTGAAGTTCGAAAGTGGGGTTATAACTGGACAGCGTTGGTCTGAAACGTTTGGTTTAAATCCGTTTTAAACTACCCCGAATGTAGATCAGCTTGTTTTCAATGTTTTTCAATGCTGTGTATCTCCTCACCTTGCTTGATTTGACCACTTTGCATACTGTCTGATTCTCGGATAAACGGTGCTCTGAGCGTGGTGAATCGGTAGCAATCCGTCAGAACATTTCGAGACATGGCCATCATCCAGCTTTCTTGCCAGTTAGGACTTCCAACTGAAGGTGCTAGTCATACAAACGTCGGACGATGGTGGAGACTGCACAGTTGACAAACTCATGCTCGAAAAAATGTTCCCTGGTGCAGCCTCCTGGAGAAATGAAATTAATAATAGCAGCACATAAACATCTGTGGTTCAGCTAATCAAATGTCAAACCGGTATGTGATGTACTTCCGAATGACGTCAGCTCTGTATTCTTTCGACCACGGACTAGCACAAAACCTTTTCCGCTGACATTCTCGTTCTAGTATCATTCCCTTAAGAACACCAATGTGATCTAAGCGATAGCTAAACCTTGAGCAACAAGATTTGGTTTGTTTGTTGTTTACCTGCTCTTCACCCGCTTCGCATCATCGTTCCTGTGTTTTTGATTCAATCAACGGCTATGACAGTACGAACAAACTTTCAATAAGCTCACTCAGAGTGAGATTAGCTCTGATTAGCTTGTTGCTCTCAACGATTGCATATGTCACTTGCTCCAACGCGACAATATAGAAACAACAAGGAGATGGATTCGTGTGTGTGTGTACGTGCGTCTGTGTGCCAATCAGTGACGTAAAGTGACGCACTTCCTGTCATTGAATCTTATGCATGTGTACAGCTTCAAAGACATTGCAGAGTGACAGCTTATTGTCCTCAAGAATTATAGAGAACTGAGAAAATGATGTGCGCGTGTGCGACCCTAATCCGGAGTGAACGAAGAAGACTGTGGAAGTAATTTGTAGTATGTAGAATCCTATAAACCCCAGTGCCGTAGGTTGACATTAAGATTCCAAACGAAACAAAAACTAAACATGAACTTTTCTGTTCCGGATTACCCGTAATGCAGCACATGTTTACTGTTACAGTCGTGAAAATCTCATCTCCTGGTCCGGTACGAGCCTTCCTCATTGCTTACTTTCTTTTAAACTTTCTCCACAATCTGTTTTTTCTTTGACAAAATGAGGAGTGACCTTATGACGACAGCGAAGCGCCTGACTAATTAAGCGTACTTCTACTGATCAACCCACAGCAAGTTCTGTGCTACTCACGCGAAGAAACATCCCAGTCGAGGAGCCCGTTTATATGAATTGGGGCTTATTTCTAATGTACCCGCGTCCCGAACTACTCTGCGAGACAATCTCTAATTCGTGGATGTTTCTTTTACTGCTAAAGGTGGACTAACACAATCTCCACACCCTTCACACTTTCTTCCTCTTTGGTAGTGTTCTAAATGTAATCTGGAAATGACTCAGTGCCAAGTGAAATGGTCCGATTGTTTTCGAATTTCTTTCTAGACGTCCCCTTGTACGGCCTAAGATGACACCGAGTCATTTCTCGCGCTTATATCGCGACGCTTTGTGTCTCCGATTGATTTGGAAAAAAAACGACCAAGAGCACCTAAAAGTACTAATGTCAAGTAAGGTGTGATCCACACCGATCGGCTCTCAAACGGGAGCGCCTACGCCACCAGCATTGACGCACAAATTTTCTGGATATTTTGACGCGGCATTTACGAGATTCATCATCATCACACAGCTTCATTGCCATACAAACACGAAATTTATTTAAGTATGTTCAAATCCTTGGAGTGAAAAAAAGTGAAAAGAGTGGATGAGTGGGCCTGGTGCTGGCCTATGTCAAGCATTTTGAAATGCCTACACTCCCAAGGGCTCTATCAGACAATCTGGAAAAAAACTGACGGCACGGACGCCACCGAAATCGATCAGCCGCCATTTCCTACAGTGTTTCCATGTAAGCAGAGGAAGGATCAGAGGGACCCCATCCTGGAAGGTGGCCCCCACTGACAATACCCAAACCCTTCATAGTCTCACATCGTTCCGCCAAGTAATATTTTATGCGTCTCATGGTTTGCGCCGTTCTGAAGGAGGCACGGAGAACAGCACTAGTCTGCGTAGATCATGTTTCCGCATGTTTAACGCATGACGGAGTCATCACAATTGATGATGCTGCACAACCAACTATGCGTTTTCTGATCACCTCGTTACAATCTCATTGACGCCATCTGACACCAGCAACACTTCTGAGGCATTCTTGGTTAAAAGTCGAATTACCTCTCACGTCATTTGTCTTCAGAGGGCATGTGTCCCAACCAGACAACGATACAGCCCTTGCTGTAGCCTGCTGACCCTTTAAACCCAGTTATATGCCTTTTGGACGCCACAAGTGACGTAAATTAGCAAACGTGATTCGGGTTCTTGGGGTTCGTGCACTGGCTAGATCAGACACACTTCCGGCAGAGCTAATGCAACTTCCGGAACACGTGAAATTCTTTACAACTTCCAGTGATTTTCCTTGAATTGTAAGGAGTACGTCTAGAGACGGAGCGTTATGAAGCATGCAAGGCGCACACATAATGATGTTATGGTGGTGGTGAATCTACTTGATAGGGTTTGTGTTTCGCCTTGGTCTTCAAAGATGTGGATAATATCCCTAGCTTACTCCAGGTCGGTAACGTTCATGCCAATAACGATTTGAAGTGCTTTCACCACTTGCCTCATTAGTTCATCAATGACGAAGTTGAACAAGAACAGAGAGAGCTGACATTTTGCCGGACAACACTTTCTGTAGGGAAGCTTTTGGACAGCTCACCATACAGTCCGACTTGCCCAGAAGTATGTGAATATAGGGGCCAGCTTATGCTCACAAACATCTGAGAATTACCCTGTGGCGCAAGTACACTTAACAGCATTCAACGATTGACAGAATCGAGTGCACCGTTGAAGTCAAGGAATATCAATATTGTGGATCGTCTGTACATATAGCGTTGCTCTAACACCTGACTGAGTGTAAAGATGTGGACGATGCAGCCTCTACGCGGTCGAAATCCCGCTTGATTCTCACGGGTCAATGTTTCGCGTGCCGTCGTAAGATGACGAAGAATCAGTGACACCAGAAACCTTGTTACAGCAGGGTTCAAACTAAAACCCATGGGGTTACGACATTCACTGCGAGTACCCTTTCTGAGAATGGACACTATTATCGAACCATCGCAGTTATCTAGGACATTCTCCTTCACCCAGATAGACACAAATTGGCTAAACAGGCACTGGCTGAGGCATTTACCGCCCTTCTTGAACAGAAGGGTCATCGTGACCATCAGCGGGTTGACGCTTCTGAGTCTAAGCGGTTACGGGTCATCTGTGTGTTAAAGTTCGGCAGTCGTGATTTGAATTAGCAGATGGTTAAATGAATTCTTGTTCGAGTTATTGTGCCTAGCGGTGCTGGATATCAGAGAGCCATTTGGTCCCTGATTATTTCGCTGACAAGAGGCTTCCAAGGTCTAGTCCGTGGAATCAGATGGAACAGCTTGCAGACGTTTGCAGCAGTTTTTGCACCTTCCATTTCTTCGACCTTTCGGGTCCACCAAGCTTCTCGGTCTGCGCGGACACTCATTTCCACTTGGTGTTGGATGATACGCCGGGTGGAGTTGTGGTGGCGGCCAGGTGGAATCTGTCTCCAGGTCTCCAGCAAAGACACGGTCCTATCAGATATCCAATGTTTAGACGATGTTGATTGGGTTGTACCTCAAACAGAAGTTTCGGCTTTGAGTAGCGCTTTGGGTATTTTTTCCCAGTGAACGTTTATATCCGACATCGGACCATCCGGCGGGCGTTCGGTGGGCTAGTTCTTATAATTTCGTTTGGTTCTTGGGTCCACTGGCTGTTCAGTGGCTAAGCGATATGTGCGCGTTTTGCCTAGACCTAGCTCAATGAAAAACAGCAGCGTACGAATTCATGTTCGGAGTCCACGCTGGTGTTCCAGAGGAAGTGACAGGCGGTGATTGACTGTCGCTGCCGATAACTGGTGTCGTCTATTTGGATTCGTGGCTGGTCTGTTGGTGGGCCCCACGTTGTCAAGCGATTGCCGTTTTTCCGGAAATCCGTACTGCAAAGAACAGTCTGATCGGCACATATCTGAATTAAGCGCTCCCCGTTGTCCATGCGTCTCATGTCTAATCCAAGGTAACCACTTAATGGGGCCTCAGCAGCGCTTAGTTTACCTTAGGAGTTCCTGTCATCAGCAACCACAATGATACCTGAGATTTTAGTCCGCTGCAAAAGGGTACCTAGAGCGTCATAAAAGCTGTCCTTGGCAGATTCAGAGCTACAGTCAGTTGGGGCGTAAGCGGAAACAATAAACAAGGTGCGATGAACTTCACTTCCTCTAGGTTCTCTCACAAATGTTTCCAAGCGGACCTCACAGAGGCGACTATCAACGTGTTTCGATCAAGTAGAGACGCCTCCGTTCGGTCGCTCAGTACAGTACCCACCCCAGCATATCCAGCAGCAATCCCTGCATCTCAAGAGGTGTGCAGCCAGAACCTGGAAGAGAGCGAGGGGGAAGTCACTTCGATCACAGTACTTGTGTCCTGCATCCTTGTTTCTGACAGATAACATAAGTCGATGCAGAGGGAATCCAGCGTTCGATCAAGATTCACCTGTTGACCTTCTTGCTTCAGTGTGCGAACATTAAAGAAGGCTAAGTTGACAGGATTTGAGATTCTCACGGGTCAATGTTTCGCGTGCCGTCGTAAGATGACGAAGAATCAGTGACACCAGAAACCTTGTTACAGCAGGGTTCAAACTAAAACCCATGGGGTTACGACATTCACTGCGAGTACCCTTTCTGAGAATGGACACTATTATCGAACCATCGCAGTTATCTAGGACATTCTCCTTCACCCAGATAGACACAAATTGGCTAAACAGGCACTGGCTGAGGCATTTACCGCCCTTCTTGAACAGAAGGGTCATCGTGACCATCAGCGGGTTGACGCTTCTGAGTCTAAGCGGTTACGGGTCATCTGTGTGTTAAAGTTCGGCAGTCGTGATTTGAATTAGCAGATGGTTAAATGAATTCTTGTTCGAGTTATTGTGCCTAGCGGTGCTGGATATCAGAGAGCCATTTGGTCCCTGATTATTTCGCTGACAAGAGGCTTCCAAGGTCTAGTCCGTGGAATCAGATGGAACAGCTTGCAGACGTTTGCAGCAGTTTTTGCACCTTCCATTTCTTCGACCTTTCGGGTCCACCAAGCTTCTCGGTCTGCGCGGACACTCATTTCCACTTGGTGTTGGATGATACGCCGGGTGGAGTTGTGGTGGCGGCCAGGTGGAATCTGTCTCCAGGTCTCCAGCAAAGACACGGTCCTATCAGATATCCAATGTTTAGACGATGTTGATTGGGTTGTACCTCAAACAGAAGTTTCGGCTTTGAGTAGCGCTTTGGGTATTTTTTCCCAGTGAACGTTTATATCCGACATCGGACCATCCGGCGGGCGTTCGGTGGGCTAGTTCTTATAATTTCGTTTGGTTCTTGGGTCCACTGGCTGTTCAGTGGCTAAGCGATATGTGCGCGTTTTGCCTAGACCTAGCTCAATGAAAAACAGCAGCGTACGAATTCATGTTCGGAGTCCACGCTGGTGTTCCAGAGGAAGTGACAGGCGGTGATTGACTGTCGCTGCCGATAACTGGTGTCGTCTATTTGGATTCGTGGCTGGTCTGTTGGTGGGCCCCACGTTGTCAAGCGATTGCCGTTTTTCCGGAAATCCGTACTGCAAAGAACAGTCTGATCGGCACATATCTGAATTAAGCGCTCCCCGTTGTCCATGCGTCTCATGTCTAATCCAAGGTAACCACTTAATGGGGCCTCAGCAGCGCTTAGTTTACCTTAGGAGTTCCTGTCATCAGCAACCACAATGATACCTGAGATTTTAGTCCGCTGCAAAAGGGTACCTAGAGCGTCATAAAAGCTGTCCTTGGCAGATTCAGAGCTACAGTCAGTTGGGGCGTAAGCGGAAACAATAAACAAGGTGCGATGAACCTCACTTCCTCTGGGTTCTCTCACAAATGTTTCCAAGCGGACCTCACAGAGGCGACTATCAACGTGTTTCGATCAAGTAGAGACGCCTCCGTTCGGTCGCTCAGTACAGTACCCACCCCAGCATATCCAGCAGCAATCCCTGCATCTCAAGAGGTGTGCAGCCAGAACCTGGAAGAGAGCGAGGGGGAAGTCACTTCGATCACAGTACTTGTGTCCTGCATCCTTGTTTCTGACAGACAACATAAGTCGATGCAGAGGGAATCCAGCGTTCGATCAAGATTCACCTGTTGACCTTCTTGCTTCAGTGTGCGAACATTAAAGAAGGCTAAGTTGACAGGATTTGAGGGTTTGGAAAAGACTTCGAAGTGTTCAGAGTTGTCACTAAACTCGGACGTACAGAAGCTGCAGCTGAGTGTGATACAGGGCGAGCAAAATGGTCAGTCCAAGAGCTGGGACCTGCGAAGAAAGTATTCAAATTTGGGTGGGGGGTGGTGAAAGATGGAAAACGTGAAAGTGTAAGAAGGGAGGCGTCAGCAATAGCATGTTTTCGCTCACCCGCCTTGTTGTATGCAGCAAGTAGGGCGACGGGGCTGATTGCACCACGCGACGGCCGATGCGGCATGAGAATATTAGTTTATGAATGTCATGGTCGTGGGCTGGGAACGCGACGGCCGATGCGGCATGAGAATATTAGTTTATGAATGTCATGGTTGTACGTGGGCTGGGATACTGCCGGACGCCCACATCTAGACAGGAGGACGATTAGGGTCCTCAAACAAAGCCTTCGATTCAAAAGCCTAACCGCACGGTAGCGGTGTTGAGCTGGAAATGCAGGTACATTGCCTTTTTACGGAACACGTCACCACACATGTTCCAACCCTCAACCTGGAGGGCCAGGAGATTGTGTTCGTCAGCCCTCTAACAATTGACCAACCTGGTGTGGGTGACTCTGTGTCTCGCGGACACCACTCAGTATAGTTCAGTGGGTCACAGAGGCACACAAACCGTTGTACCATGTCCAGTCTCTTTGTGACGGATTCGCAATGTTTTCTGGAGGCAGAGAAAAGACGGAGCAACGTTTGATATTCCAATATTTATCGAGCTCCAACTAGTTATTGTAATTTCAGGTAGAGCATGTAAGCACTCGATTGTCTCAACCTGTGTGGTTATTAGTCCAACCCGGCCGGGTCGTTTTTTAATTATTCAGAAGACAGTCCTCATGCCGGTTTATTATGTTGAGGTATTGATAGAGTCTTACTGACGTGTATGCACGACGATGATTTACTTGGGATAATAGGTTTCAACACACTGTAGGTTTGTTCAGTGCGCAGTGTGCCGAAGGCACTTCATGTTTGTCATCTGACACAGGACTCTTTCTTGTGGAGGAGACCCCATTCATTATCATCGCCATCGACAGCGTGACATCAGTGTTCAACACCGATGCTACACTCTCCTCCTCGACGCACACAAAGTGTTTCTTTTGTATCAAACATGGTGTCTCGTATAAGATGTGATTATCACCTAGCAGGAAAACCGTGTCTGCCAAAAATAGCTCTTTTACTGGATAAAATTCACCCTCTTCCGTAAAGGTTTCACGATACACTTCCAATCTGACATGGTTTGCAAACAGCGGTGTCCGAATGGAAAGTTCTTACAGTGTTTTCCCGTGAATTTGTGTTTGATTCCCTAACACTGTACCGACGTTTCTGTGCTCATTCCTCCTCTGTTTATCTATACAGGGCGACCATTGTGCAGCACCAACGCTTACCACCACCGCGTCGTGTTGGGCTCAAAGACGGTTTTGTTAACGGTGCACTGGAGGAAACAGTTCAGCCCAAGATGGACGATTCAATCCAGATGGCCACTGGGTACATGCAAACCAACGGCTGGTCTCATCAGAATTTGCATACCGATCGAACCGATCTTGTCGACGGTCAATGGGTTGAACGTCCCATGTCTCCGGACAACTTTATGATGGGTGGTGTGAGTTACCCCTTCAATAGGTTTACCTTTGTGTGACTATGGTAGTTGTCGGGTTTTCGTTTTATCGAGTGGGCTTTGAACACCATTCACGTGTTCTAAAAGTGCCTTACTCAGGAGACTTAGCGTACGCTGTTCACCTATCTTAACAGCAGCACTTGGTCCCCAGACTCCACTTTGTGGCTTCTTCGATTTAGAGCTTCGTTAACAGCCCTGGCTTTTTGCTTTGGAGCCATTCCTTTGTAATAATAACCGTTCAGTTGTGGCACACATTCCATGCATAGTTGCTATGCCACCCGAAGGAAGTACGAGGACTGAGCTACTATCAAGTTGCCCAAGTCCAAAACAGGAGCAATCGAGGTGTTGAAGTTGGTTTCGACCAATGGACCTTGCAGTCATTCATTTCGCGCCTCAACCCCTGAGCTATTCCGAGCCGTTCCGTAAAATACTATGTATCAGTGTCCATGCTGTTCACTTCTTTGCCTTCTGAAGATGTTAACAGCAGTTACTGTGATCAGCTTAACATCCATCGAACCTCTGTCCCCTTTTCCAGACAAATTTTCATTATTTATATCATATTGACAGATTTGAGAGCTCGAGCTGGCTCAATAGTTAAGGAAATTTATTGGTCGGGGGAACTCTTCGGCTCGGACCCAACTCTGGCCCATCGTTTCTTCGGATTGCATGGCACCGAGAAAATGTCACAGATACACAGTTTCGCTCAGTCGGGGATCTGTGACAGCTAACAGCATTCGAACGCGTTAAACTCATGTCGTTTCACCCAAAATGTTCGCTTCCCCATACTGACAATTTTTTTTGTTGGTGTTGGGCGTCCTACCACAAACTTATTAAGCAACACAGCAGGATCATTGGTTTCCCTCCTTTCCCCTGCATATACACTTTATTATACATTTAGACGGCCTCCTGCACCTTTCGTCAATCCCGAATTCCGATGATACATGAGTGAAGTCCGGAAAGTTTGTATCTGACGTTAAGTTTTGATAGATCGCGACGGCTAGTTTCTTGCTTTCGGGCTAGCCAACCAAATCCTCACACAAATGGTTCGATCAATTGAATTTTCATCAGCTTCAGTTATGAATAATCGAGTGTGACCGGGTGACAACTAAGTTTTCGTTGTTCACTTAGTACTCGTCTTCGGCAAGACACTAGTACTCACATGATACAAACCGCCCTGTATCCCAGACAACCTAGGTGTACAACATGTGGGTTACGTCCTCTTTTTCATGCATTTCGTGTGGGGACTTTAATACCACATGATGTGACTTTCACAATTGTCTTGCCAGCAAATGTCGGCAGGAGCCATGCACGCGTTCGATCACGTGCCTGGGAGCAGTTTCGTATGGTTTGGCATACCCTTTAAGGGAACAAATCGTATTTTTTCGCGACAATTTCAACGTTCCACCGCCACGCCAAAAACATCCCGTTTACTCCTGTCAAAGTAGGCGTCGATGTCAGACTGAGTTTTATGTCATTAATTTGCAAAGTTCACGATCCCTTTGTCGAAGAAATTCGGTCAAATCCTCTAGCCGACGGGAAGTTGGTTGTCAGCCTATCTTCTCAGATCAGGAAGGCGTTAGGAAGAATAGGAAAACTACGGACTGTTTGCCAATCCCTTCGGAAAAGAATAAATCTAGTTTAGTATCAGTGGGGCAGACAAACCTGACGAACGCGCTCCACGCCTATCCCGAGCCAAGTTCCGAAAAATGCGCAATATATTGATCATTCGGTTAGCGGACAATAGGAATTAAACCTATTTCCGGTGCTTTTTTTTATCGTTTTTATGTTTACTCTAGATTTCGCAATTGATAACGTCGTGGTTCCTTTTCGTCGACATTGGTGACCACAGTCTCACGCAGTCGGGTTGAATGGCTCGCTCAGCCTCTTATCCTTGTGTTGGATTACGAGGCTCCTTTTCCTAACCACCCTCTAGCGAACAAGCTTTGTATTTTCTAATATTACACTTCGTTCGTACTTCAGCCATAAGTTTCGAATTACAAATTCCTCGTATTCATGCCCATTACTTCTGTCTATCCAACCCCTCTCATCGCTCAGAGTCATACATTTCACTACCAAGAAATCACTCCTGCTCAGCGAGCCTTGTTGGTTACAATCAACGAAGATGTGGAAACGTTGCAGGCTGCGAAGGAACAATTGTACCTGTCTCCAGACGAAGATAGAATTATCGGCATCGGGTCTGACGAGGTGAGCAGACTCTCATTGGTTCTCACTGAAAACCAAGCTACTGGTTACAACAACGCCATCGAGTTCCCACTTTCATTAGTCTATTTCCAAAGTCCTTTGCTAGGGCATTTTGGCTAATCGTTGATTCGGTACTTCCGTGCCTCATGATAGTAGGGTACTGTATCCGGTATTAGGACAGAGAACATCTATCCGACCTACTTCTGGTCACGCACGGCGCTTGCAGTGTGTGGAGTTAGCCCCCCTCTCTCTCTCACCAAGTTCCAGTTTCACTAGGTTTCGTACTACCTCCACAGCATCGCAAGCACATTCGGTGCCATCCGCACGACATGCGTTAACTTTCACGATGTCCGTGCTATTGTGTATACAGGCGTTTATTCAGATCTCTCTGTTACGTCTTTTCCGGACGAAGACAACCTTTCAAAGAAGGATTGTGGACCTTTCAGAGTTGCTGTTATTGTAGCCCTTCTACCGTCAAAGTATAGTATTCCATCTCAACGGGTGTTGGAAGGAACACCACGACTGAACACTCCGTTATTTTTTCACCTGCGTTGGTTTGTTCTCTTTGCATCCTGGTGTCCTTCGATATTCTATCACTATGAAAACAGTCAAATGGTAGTTTCAGTGCGTTCTCCAGATATTTCTCCATCATTTTTGTCGTCTGCTTCAATGCAGTGATTGTGACCAACATCTTTTTAGGCTTCGAAGCGCTGGTTAAGTGAATCGATTGGTGCCAGTCAAGCCAAAGTGACTGATGAGGTAGGAGCGATGAATGCTGCCGTAGCCCAGGCTCTCCGTTCAGCCAACCGCGCAGAGGCGTACGACTCCACAGGAATGAGTCAAGTCGGTCTTGGTGTCAGTCAAGACCCCGGAGATGATCTGATGATTATGCAACAGTCATTCCGTGTGGTCACCATACACTTCCCCGCCTTTGTGGATGATGTAAAACGCGTAGCGGTTCTGCGTCGTGAAGTCGGAGCGATTCGGGCGGATCAGACTGGTGAGCCAGTCATCGCCGCACAATCTGAAGAGTCGTCACAGAACCTGCTGTCGGCCGCACGACACGTTGCAGATGCGTTCACTGATTTACTCGAGTCGGCACGGCCTCTGGCTACTGGCCAGGTGAGCGTCCTAATATATCGTAACTATCATACTTAAAAGTCTCAACTTCTTGTCTATCTTCTCCTTTACTTTGTCTTTAAAACTGGTCATTTCAGCCTCGTGAGGAAGTGGTGACAGACGAGAGTACCATGCGTTCTCAGGTGGTTACCACTGGCCCCGTGTCGAGCAGCTCACGAAAGGCTATTATTGACGCTGCCAGTCGGGTCGGGGAAGCAAGTAATGATCTTCTCCGTCATGTCATGCACGAGGGCGATGGAGAAGAGGATTTCGAAGCGAGCAGTTTGGTGCTAACAGAAGAAGAACGTCTATACAAGGTACACTACTACTTTTTTTGGCGTTAGTATGGCTTCTTTTGTTTCCTTTTCAGCATGATATGGTACAGTGATTAGCTAGCATACCTGACTTACGCATGCGGGCTTTGCACGTCAACGCTAGCATATACAAACAACTGCTGATCGCGCTCGCTGAGTGTGCCAGACCCGTGGGAACATTCATCGTCTGTTACCGTGCCAGCGCTGACATTGTTTATTGTTGCAGGAAATCTATGTTTACCTGATTTGGTTACCGTGTGTTTTCACTCTAGCTAGTTCTACTGAAACAGTGATTGGTACAGATCAATATTGTCATTGTGAAGACGTCAGATATTCTCTTGTTCCACAACTTCATACTGACGTTGTGATGCCAGTCTAGAAAGGTTTTGGATAAGAGCTGTCGGGCTTTCTAGTTGCGAGATGCGTAAATGGTGGGATCATATAAAACGAATATGCATTTGTTTTTATGCTCGATTAAGATAGTTCTGCGTTTTATTTTCGACAGCCCGAATTCAGCCATTTTGAATCATGTATATAGTAAAGCAGTTATTCGTTACTACCCTATGAATCAGTCTCTTTTGGCGAATAAAGACGATAATTCATACTGTTCTCCACGTCCGGGTTTCCATAGGCTTTCCAAACTGATAAAGGTTGACTACTATCTGATTTGTGTTACTAAATCGACTCAAATATGAGAACACAACAACAACCAGCCGAATTTAGTATTAACCGCATGTTGTTGTTTTTTGTATAAAGAACCCTTGTAGCTTGCCATACTCGCCTTGAACTCAGGAAAGTGTTACCGAACTGTTCACTTGTAACCGAATGCAGATAGGTGTTCGTCACGAGATCAGACCCATTTGTCAATCCATTTAGGAGTGTGTTCGGTCCCACTTACTGCGCGTTTCGGTCATACGGACCGTCATCTACTTAGAAGAGTATGGTTGCTAAAATGACACGAACCACGTGCTAAACAACTCTTGGTTTGGGTGAGTGCAACCCATGGAACGCCTACTAAAACGGGCTATTTTGCTCGGTTAAAGACTGCAAGAAATGGCTGCTGCTCGTTGCAATTGACGTCTCAGTTTCTACTTTCTATCCCTATTAGCTATGTTCCATATGCTTGCGGAACGCCAACACCCTCAGCTACTGGAAGTTTCGAAATAAGTATTTCTGTTGGATCAAAACACCGATTCCGACGCTGGTATTCTTGCGAAGAGTATGGTACGCCCTGAGAGTATTGTGCTTCAAACGTTTCGAACGGCGAATTGCGTATTCCCATTTGTGTTAACTTCATTTTCTTGCACCCTGAAGACGAAGGGTTGAATTTCCGTAAACCTGGACGTCTATTCCCCTTTCACCTCTTTTCTCTATCCGTGATGTCTTGTTTCAGGATCAGTTGCTCAGTTTGGCAAAGGCTGTGGCCAATACAACTGCCAGTTTGGTTGTGAAGGCGAAAAATCTGGCTACACAGACATCCCTGGACCCGGAAGCCCAGCAACATGTGATCGCAGCTGCCACTCAAACGGGTCTGTGCACCAGTCAGCTGGTCGCATGCACAAAGGTATGTACAAACCCTGTTTGTATGCAGTAGGGGAATAATTAAGCGCCAGATGAAATTAGTTGTGTTACTTCTGTGCTTTCGAACTGACACCTGTTTGTTAGCTTTCGGTGGGGTTTTTCGAATTACACTGCAATCCACTTTTGTGCACAAAAGTGCGAATGCGTTGCCAATCTCGAGGTAGCTAGGCAAATAAGAGTGGATTTACTGACCGGAACGCCCCTGGCTTTTCGACCGTTCCCGATTTGGCAGTCTTCATGTCTCCTTCGAATTGCATGGTAGCTATCCACCGAAATGATGCCACACTTAAGCCATCATATCGCTATCTATTAAATCTAACCACCCATCAGTTCAAACAGCTACTGGCTTTCTGATAACCTATGACAACTTCAACTATTGTCGTTTTGTTCTCAAATGACGTAAAGCGTGTTGCTAACTAATGCCCACTTTATAAATGTCCTCTGTTTTACGCTCTACGTTGTTCCACTTGTCAGTATCCAGTAGGGACTAATCCCTTTCTAGATACAGCTTGTCTTAGTGGGCCCAATTTGGGACGACAGCCTTTTCCGAAATCTCGTTGGAGTGAACGAGTTCGGATCTTATTTCGGCAAGCACTCTCTCGTTTACAATCACGAATCACTTTCCATTTTGCAGAGCCATTTTTGGACTATCAACCCAAAAGATGCCTAATCCGTTATATGTTGCCGTACTAGGATAATTTGGTGGGCTTAGGGATTTGAACAGCGCAACTGGATACGCAACAAGATAAAAATCATCTCCAGTCCTTGTCTTGGCGCAAGCAAGCATAGCCTTATACGATCGCTTCACTGTGCATAGTACCGTTGTAGGACAGGCTCTTCCGCTGTTGTCCCTCATGCCGTACAATCATCTCTTTGGATTGGTTCAGTTCTGTTGTTTCCGAAATCGCGCCTATAAACGTCAGAGCAGGCGACTCACCTATCATCTTAGCAACGTCTTCCTCCATGTGTCCATTTAATCCTCACGTCCCCCTCACCTTTTTCATCATTTCCATGAACCTCACGTGTCCGTCATCATCTTTACACCGTCAGGTTTTGGCACCAACAATTTACCAACCGTCCTGTCAACAACAACTTTCGGAAGCCGCTCGAGAGGTATCTTGGGCAGTGGATGGTGTGGTGCAAGCTTCTCGAGCGGCTGGCGCACGGACGGCTGACCAACCAGTGCAGGTGCAGCAGCCTGTACGAGCAGCTGTTGCGGAAACAGAGATGGCCGCAACCGAAGTTCGTGATGCCTTGGACCAGCTAAACGCACACCTGTCCAAAGCGTCTGCCAAGGTACGCGGTCCCTCAGTGAGGTATTTTCCTGTTGTTTTATGCTGTTATCGCTGTTATCGCTACTAACCTCCCTGTTATTTCAGACCTCATCAGGCGACGCACTGGATAACTTCCAACTTGCCTATGACCAACTGCAACAGTACCATACTCATGATGGACAGCGAATGGTTGCTTCTGCTCGCCGCATGGCCCAAGCCACTGCCCAAATGATTGCTGATATTAAGGCGCAGGCTGAACTTGCTGCAGACGACCCAGATCGGCAAAGTCGATTATTTGCTGCAGCTAAGCAGCTGGCGGATGCGACCACAATATTGATTGCCTCAGCGAAGGTAAGCAGAGTTTGCGTGTGTGCGCTATAGTCTCGTGCTGACACACTTGTTTGACCATCATGTCCGACACCCAGAACGATTCATCCGAACCCTCTGCTTGTTGCTGTGGTGACGGGGCGCACGCGCATTTTTGTGTGCATCTTTTAAAACTCAGTCTCTTGTGTCGTGATGTTTACTGCTGTTATTCTCTTTTCGTGTCACACAAGACCGTGCACTTTTCCTCCGGCCCGTATAACAACTTTCTGGCTTTTGACTTAACTTCACGACGGTAGTCAACTACGCCAGTTCACACATGTGTGCGCCGTACGGGTAACGGTCGGCTATCCATAGTTGGCCGGACAGGAATACGATACAGCTACCTGTCCACAACAGGCATATGGCACTGAGTTTAACTGTTTGTTATTTCCGTTTGAAAGTTCAAAAAAATTGCATGCTACTTCTGACACTCCACGACCGTCCTCATATAACTCAAGCCGCGTACTAACTGACCCCATTCAGTCTCGTAATCCGGGCATGGCCCAGAAATGATGTGCCACTACCGCAATCTTCTTCAGGCACAGTGGGACTCAGGTAAGATGTGACTGCATGTGCTGCAACCTATCTCGTGGGATTATTGTACTGTCCCGTGTGTGAGCCGCGTTAATCATTTACGTTCATGTAAAGTCAGAGGGGGTGACATGCCCAAGTGGTTAGAGTGCGAATTTACTGACCGGAAGGTCCGTGGTTCGAACCCGACCTCTGTCTCTCGGCTTCCCCTGTCTAGGCTTGGACTACCTGGCGGTACCCCAGCCCTCTTGCAACCTTCGGATGGCATGGCAGTTAGGCACCGAAAGGATGTTACAGCTGAGCCATTTTTTCAAGTGTGAAGTCAGAACACTAACGAAGATATCGATAGTTAGCTTCCTGAAAGCCAGGTAGTCAAGCGAAAACCTAGTGTTTCAACAGATCTTATTTACACTTGCATCCACGTCATTCTTATTAGAATAAACCTGCTCCAGTTCTCTGGTATTCAACTGAAGTGGAAGCAGCTAAACTGGAGTGTCAACCTACACGGGAAATTCGTGAACCTTGAATGAAATCTTTGACAAATTCATTGGCTTTGCCTTATGTACTGCAATCGAGTCGTGTAAAACCCTTTGAACACTCAACTGGTCTTTTTTCCAAGCTCAGTAATTTTATCTTTATACGTTAGTTCAAATATGTACTGGTTTTCAAGTATCGTTGCTGTAAGGTGGGAGCTTCGGCCACCTCACATCAGCACTTGGATCTCTGACGTTTCGAAAATAGTACTGATATCACTCCTAGTCCGTTCCCTGATACACTTTTTCGTATTCACAGGTTTGTTCAACCAATCCAGAGAACCCCGTGACTCAGGAAGAACTCCGCCAGGGTGCCGAGAGTCTTAACCTGATAGTCCACTCAGCGGCAGCTGATTTGTTACACAGACGTCTTATCCGAAACTTACAGGCCGCTGCTCGAGCCGCTGTCACAGGTGCCACGCAATTGGTCAATGTTAGTCAGGTGGCGGCTAAACGATCGAGAGGGAATACCTATCAGGTAAGGAAATATCTCACACCTTCCCCTGATATCCATTTGCTTTCATACCCAACCACTATCAAAAACTCCAGGTAGCTCTCTGTGTAGCAAACTGATCCAATCAGCTTCTTCCGGTGATCAGTTTACCATTCATACGTCAGAAAACTTCAGAGTGCATCACCAAGCAACGTATACCCCGCGGCAAAAGTATGGGACCCTTCATGTTTTGTTTCGTTGACCCTGGACCATATGGAGCAATTTTCGGTCGACAGATAATGGACACCATTAGGAACGAAGTTCTGCGTTAACACGACTTAGTCCTATGGGAACGAATGTGAAATCTACGAAAGGTTGAAAATTATCACAATAACATTATAAAACCATCCGTATGTACTGTCCCGTTAGGAAATGGCGGTCATTTTGCCTCAAAACTTCCAATAAACGCTCTGTCTAAGTGACTCTGTAACTAATGGTTCTTCATCCCCGTTTCACAGCAGCCACCAGGTGTGCTAGTGCGACTCACGAGTTCGCAGTTACACTAAGATTGAACTTCAATGATAGAATAGTAGCTATCAGCGGTTAAGTAATGGAGAAGGGCTAACTGCTGATTTGTCTTTTGGGGATATCCCATCTACCAGCCTAGTCGTACGAGTGACAATCTACTCTGATTGCTCTGTTAGAGCAAAAAAAGAAGCTCAGTTATTGTTACTTCTATCAGGGCTAAGAGCACGCAGTCGAGTGGAGTTGGTGCGATTGAGGCGAAACTGGATGGTTGAACTGGATTATACTCAGTATGTACATTGAACGACTGGAAACTGGTTTTTGCAGTACCACCTTATGGACCAGTCGAGATCGTCCGTCTCCATGGTGCCCTCTAATAGTAAATCTGTGAACCCAAATCAACCACATCACCTCAGGTGGTCGAACGATCAATGACCACCGTTCATTTTGAAGCACTAATGAGGATTTGGGTCATGCAATGTCAATCCCTCGAGAAGCCCTCTGATTCTGAATCAGATTAACTCAAGAACTATCCTGCAAACTCCCAACTGGCTTCCATCGGATACTGATTCTCGCTAGGACGCGATCACAATATATTTACATAGCATCGAGAGCTCCACCCCTGACACAGTACGCACAGTTTTATTCAAACACTGGATACCCAGTAGAATAGAACCTCGGAACAATGTTTCTGCCGTCCGCACTCATTGTCTAACCCGATGGGCTGTCGGATTCACGTGCAGACCATGAAACCTTGTAGATTTAGAGATGCGTAGAAAGAAAATAGTAGAAGAACGCTAGGAATGCCCGAGGATTCTTCAAGTTAGTCCCCGAATATCTCCTGTGTGGCTCGATTATCTCAACTCAATACGGATGTCGAATCGTCGGACAGAGTACTTCAAACAACTCTTGTGGTCATTTTTTGCTATTCAGTCGGTTTCTCGAGCTGCATTAGAACCTTGAAACACCTTGGATTATTATGACTGCATGTTCCCTCAAGCTCTACGACACTCTTGGTCCAAACGATGAAGGGTGCAAGGTCCTCAATCAGCGTTTGTTTAGCCTAGGAGAGGAGATCACCCCCAAACAACTGGAATAGGTCGACAAAGGGGACCGTAGTGAATATGGCAATCCCAGCGGGATCTATTTGCTATTTGTTGTAGATAGATGTTACATTGAGCACATCTGCGCACTCCGCCGCAACAACGGTCTACGCATAACTGATTCGTAGTCTTCATATTTTAGAGTGCATTTGGTCCTGTCGATCGGTCTGTTCTCTTATACACACACTTGTTGGTCAGGGAGTACTTCAGTAGTTTGCGAGTACAATATGTTCCTTTTATTCGTAGTGCTCAAGAATGTTAGAGTGTATTGGTAACAATCCAAAAGCTTCTCTGCAGAAAATGTACCCGTTGTAAATGTTTGTTCTACACAATTTCCTGTTCTACGGGAAAAGTAAACTAATGAACTCCCGTATTCAAATAGCTGCCGACGAAAACCTTGTCCATATAGAATACGCAGGTAGCAGTGTTCTTGTCTCCGAAAAGGAAAGAGGGTTTCTGGTGATTTTGGATGAACTGACGAAAGTCGTCCCGTTTTTTGGCACACGGTTTGCACCCACAAAGTGTAGGTTCATGCTCCTGGGTACGCAGTCGCTGAATAGGTCGCGTGCAATCCATAGGGAACAGTTGAAATTGTGGCGCATTTGATGTACCTATGGTTATGATCCGCGCTCCAGGAAGGAAGTCACGTGGTCCTCTCTGTTGGATTGGAGATCCCGCGACCTCTACGGCTGCTAACCAATGTCAGCTCACTCATGTCATCCGCCTCTGTCCACATTCATATAGAGGTGAAGAGGGTTTTAATGAGCAGGCGCAATTCCGTGAGACGTTTTTTCTCAACTCCTAACATGGTCACTGTTTGTGAGTCCGATGGACGACATCAATCCTTAATCTGACATCTACGTGGACCCAGTGAATATCAAGTTCCTCATGCGAAAAGTGTATTGTACCCCTATATTTCGCGCCTCTAGGCCGTGTAACTAAACCTGTACACCATAAAACACCTGAATCTGCGCTTACTTACAGGTGATCTCTGACGGAAAGCTGGTGAACGGTTTGATTCCGAGAACGGTAATAAGTATCCGGGAGTCCCGAGCTTGTCCGGACGATCCACTGACTCAAGTTGAACTGATCAGTGCGTGTGAACGCTTTGTTCTGGTAAGTCCTCTTGGTTGAGTTACGTACCACTGCTTAGCCAGTCTCCACTTAGTCCGATTTCACTATTGACCGTAGTTTCCACGCTTCGAGAACTTGGATACTCAGAGCATCAGTGATCTAGGAATGTTGTTTCTCTTTTCTCATAACATTCAGCTGCTCGTGTTTACTTCACGCATTGGAATATTGCTTCTTTCCCTACTCCCCATCTGACCTATTTCAGTTCACACTGTTCTGAACGTTCAGTGTGTTCGTCTGTCACAAATAAGAAAAACGCGCAGGGATGTCAGCCGTTATCAAACTCTAGTTGGGTTAAATTGGGTCTTCTCCACTGTGTTGAAGTGTTTAATTATACGAAATCCTAAGCGCTTCATGTGAGGACATATTACTGTACTGCCCGATGTTCGTGTACCGCTTTCGTGTCTGTCATCAGTAACTGCAGATCATAGTTTATTTGTCGAGGAAATTTGAAAGCTCGTTCAGGTTAATAATGAGTTAAAAAGCAATCGAATTCCAAATGTGAAACACGATGTGGTCCTGGAGCCCCTAGAGCACACCTTGGACGGGGTAATCGCCCATGTGTCGAGTCAACTTACGTCTGTGATGAGAGGAGTGTGGCTTACATTTAATGTAGGCCGAGAGAACATGTCTCGGCTGAACACGCTGTACAGTAGTCCGCCAATCATACATGACGAGTTGGAGAGGGGAGTGTAGTAGAATGTGGAGATCTTGCTTGATGTGAGCATCCGGTTCTCAGAAGCTCTGTGTATTGCACAATTTACTATTCCAACTTTTTCCAAACTGCTCTTCCTAATCGAAGTTCCAACATTTGGCAACAGACGGGTCTTTATCCCGATTGTACGCCGCTTGGTCTGTCCGGACTGTTTATCGTTGAACGGTTCTGATACGTGTTCAGAATCGCACACCTGTCAATGAGAATTACAAGCAGTCCAACCGAAAATTTCTAGCTTTTGGCTAAAATGGAACGCTGTAGTGCCCCTCCGGGTTGTGGTAACTGAAACTCCGCTTCTACGAGGCTCTCCGTAGGTAAAGGTGTACTATCCTTAACGACAAAAGTTTGAAGGTGTTTCCTACGGGTGACCAGCATGTCCATAAGCATGGGAACAGTGGTGCTGCTTTCCATCGATAAAGGACAGGCTCTGAAAGTTTGTCCCAAAAAACTGCGTACTCTGATTGCCCAACGGTTAGCCGTGACCGGCTGCGATCCAACGCACCTGCCCCCTCCGGGTTGTGGTAACTGAAACTCCGCTTCTACGAGGCTCTCCGTAGGTAAAGGTGTACTATCCTTAACGACAAAAGTTTGAAGGTGTTTCCTACGGGTGACCAGCATGTCCATAAGCATGGGAACAGTGGTGCTGCTTTCCATCGATAAAGGACAGGCTCTGAAAGTTTGTCCCAAAAAACTGCGTACTCTGATTGCCCAACGGTTAGCCGTGACCGGCTGCGATCCAAACGCACCTGCTTAGCACAACAGCATTAGTAGACAGACTTCTGCGCCCTATGCTTAGACTGTTCTCCACAACCAAGTGGATCAGACCACTGGGTTGTTAGCTTCGGGCAGCATCCCTGATACCCGCTGCCTTGCAAAGCAGCCTGTTGACTCATAAAGACTGCGAACGGAGCCCTAGAACAAAACCCCACATTTTCTCAGTCTTGTGAGTTAGATGTTTGAGTATCAAGTCGGGCTACCTTAAAAAGAACCTCTTCGGTCTCAACAACTAGGAATTGTTACTCACTCTCACATTTTTCTCCCCCATGTATCCATCACACACGTTTCTGCACCCTACTAGTAGACGTCGAGTCTTCTTACTTCCAGTTATCTGATCGAACTGCCTAATTTAACCAAATGTTCACTAAAAACAGACTAATTAGCAATTTGGTTGTCGATGTGCAGTGGGAGACACACTTATTCACCAGTGCGCCTCACCCAAATGGATTCCAGTTAACATCAATTGGAACCACACACCACCGTCTTCATCAACCGCCTCCGATGCGTATTTTTCTCATCCCAGTCCATTACTTATTAGCAAACGACTGAATCTATCGCACACTTGCACAGTCTATAGCTGATTGTGATGATTCACTTCACTCCAAAGACTTTCCGAAGCTTTTGAAGACAGAATTTTCTGGGTGAATTGCGCTTGGACATTGGAATTTTCCTAAAATGGTTTATTTTAACATATGCACTTGAAGGCTTACATTTCCACTACCAGGATTATAACAACCCATGCTTTCTCAATGGTTGTTTATAGCCTTGCGAATCCTTGGTCCGTTCAAGCCGGTCCGTAGCTCCCACTGTCTCTGACCCAACCACTCAAGCCGCTTTGGATAACTCCACTTCGCAACTCTCGGGAGCGATCGAGGTGCTTCGTACCTGTCTTGCGCGACTCACTCCTCTGACTAGACAAATGCAGGTCGACGGTGCTTTGGCGCGTTTAGCTCGTTTGGCGGTAGAAGCAGCTGCCATTGAGACCGGTTTGAAGCAAGGTACTTTGGCTCCGTTGCCGGATGAAAAGGTGCGTTTTGAAGTACGGTGCAGGTGTAGAAAAACATGTCCCTTTTGGCTGGACAGATTTCCTTCTACTATATCCGCTCCTGGCTCAGTATTTTTTTATCCAGAAGGTGGCACCAGTAAGGCATAGTTGTGTAGGAATTACTCTAAAAAAAAGTGACACCTCTTTCTGGATGAGGTTGTGTGCATTATTTTGTCACCTTGTTTACACTTATATTCTACCTCCTACCTAGATCGATGATTGCTTCAATCTTCTCGGCACAAGTGTTCAAGATGCTAACGTATCAACCCACGAGTTACACTCAATCATTGAAACAATGCCTCAACAGCAACGTGATGCGATGAACCGTTCAGACGTTTGTGGTGTTCCAGCCAGTATGTTGGCAACGGCAATCGCTGGTCTGGTTCACGCGACCCGTGGTATCGTGGCTCACGATGGCTACGACGCTGTTGACGCTGGTCGTAGCGGGACGGTGGGGCCATCGTCAGACTCCACTCGCCTAGCTGTGACTCAGGACACACGCCAGACGGTTCNAGCTGTGACTCAGGACACACGCCAGGCGGTTCAGCTAGCTTACGAACTCGTCAAAGCAGCCAGGGATGCTCGGTTTGCGTATGATGATGGTCAGATGGAAGCTCTGGCGACTGTTGTGAGTCACAGCGAACAGCTGACTGTCCAACTACTTGATACACTCGGTCGTTGTCTACGTGGATTACCAGGTCATCGAGAAATCAACGAGGCAACCAACTTGATAGAAAAGCGTCGTGAGGACCTAGTCCAGTTGTCCCATGAGGCTCCTACCCGAAGAGTTCGATGGGTTGAACCCTCCGTCTACGAACGAGCACAGTCTGAATTGACCCGTGCGGCAGTTGAGTTCAATCAGGTCAGTCTTCCGTTGTGTAGCACGATTATTTCAAAGTTGTTTTCCTCGGGGCACTGCACCATTTGATTTTTTTCGCGCGTTTTGCCGTTTATTGTGTTGTTATTATCATCCAGCTTCGAACTGCACATCCGTAGTGGAGCCTCATAGTGTTTTTGGACTAATCGAACTCAAACTACCTTTTTACACTTTTTCATATCTTCTAATACAAAATTCTCTCTTCGTAGATGACCGTACTTCAGTCCTCTTCCGAAGTTGGTCATGTCCTAAGATTGCGGTCTTGTTCAACCGAAACAAGTTGTCCATCGCCAGTCCATTGTACCTTAAGTTCATCCACACAATTTTTCAATTGTGATGACCACCTTCGGGGGAAGCGTCCCCATATGTGATTCGGCACATATGATGTTGATCCTCCAACGTTCATTCGAAAATGCGTCCCTCTTGCTAATTCCAGCCGTCCTGACACGATTCCAGGTACTAGTACAGCTTCTGGATCCTCAACTTGACCGAAGGTTGCTCCACCGCGTTCGCCTTAGAGCCACTAAGGTGATTGATCTTGTTTCCCTGACGACCTCCATGACCAAAGGCCCATAAATATAGACCCAGTAAAGTCAGCTATTTTGGTTGCGGCTTACATTGGTTGCCATTTTGGAAAAAATCACAGTTCACGTTTCTCATCAGATTATTCTTGCAAGTTAGGCGGAGGGTCTATTCAGTCCTTTTGAACTGAATAATCGCCGTGCCATTCACGCATACTAGACTAGAGACTGGTACTGCTGTGTGCTTTTCCATTCTTTTTGTTGCGGTATATAGACTTATAGTCTTGATTTTGGCGTATTCTGGTTCGTGAACTATCGCATTTGTTGTCCGTTCTCAACTTCAGTGTACCACTTAAATCTCGTATTGTAGCGGCCATAAGAAATCCCCAATAATTTGACACCCATCGTTGCCTTGGTGACCAAGATCCATACCTCTTACATCATTTTTTTCGAAATCCCTTACTTTCTTCACTTTGTGGGATTTCGTTGCTCGCCCCCTAACAACGTTCGTGTTTTGTGCACCAAATTATGCAGCTGTTCGTGGGCGTCTTGGTTCCGATTGTTTCACCATACCATGTGACCTTGGTGTCCAGTTCACAGTACCCTTGTTCCACCATGAATCCATTATTCACCCTCCCTCGTAAATGGTTATGGTTTTGGTAGAAAAACATGCGTGTGCCACTGTTTTGCCGCCCAACCATCAGATGGTTCACTTGCCGGTTCCCAGCTTATATCGATTGCGCTATTGTGCTGGTCAGCTTACCACTATTGTTTTTCCTCCACTGATTCCCTAGGCTGTTATTTTTCTCGTATACAGACACAGTATTTAACCCGGGTTGAACTACAGCCGCTGTTGTGCGGTCTGCCTGTTCTTCGTATGAGGTATGATTTGGGCACAGAAGTTGACAGGGTACGTATTGCTCCAAACAAGCCCGTATCGAGTTTCAGAGATTGCACGCCTTGCACCTTTCTCTCGCACACATCACTTTGGAGCGCACTTCTTTGGTTTTCCTCAAAGTTCAGATGTTTCTGGTGCTTTTTGGTACTCTCCCGGTGAGGATCTCAAATTCCCCAGTTTTACCTGCTTCCCTTCTGGCGGTTATCGCTTACTCCGTCCTGTCAGTGAACTGCTGATTGTTGAACAAGATTACTTGAACGCTAATTCAGTTATGTCTAATGGCCGCACTGCATTTAGGTGCCTTGACCATCAGTGAATTGATTGTTAATCCTTTCTGAACTGTACAAATATGGTAAATAGGCTTAAAGAAATTTATTTCTGGTTAACGCAAAGATGAGCTTCTCCGTGGCACTCAGTTGCAACGCAGCCTTTGGTGTAGGACAGGAGTAGCTTTGCTTGAAACAGAGTTCTGCCCGCGCATACCTGGTATCAATGTGCGCAGAGTTATGAAACGGCTTAAAGAAGCGCACAACCTGAAGGTAGCTCAGTGGCTAGGACACAAAGCTACTAACCGGAAGGTCCGTGGTTCGAACCCAACCGCAGCATCTCGACTGCTCCTATCTAAGCTTAGGCAACCTTGCAACATCTCAGCCCTCCTAGTTCCCTTAGGCGGTGTGGCAGCTAGGCACGGAATCTGTGTTGCAACTGAGTGACTTTACCTTTGTCATAGAGAACCGCATCAGATTGGGTGAACCTAGATAAAACTTGAAAGAAGAGGATCCCCCATCGTTTGTGGCCAAACGATTTTGGGATTTGTCACTCTGGCGAAAATCTAACTTCCTTTGCGTATCGTGCACTGAATTTATCCCCGATCCCGAGGCATATCTGAAGTCCCTGTTCAAACTGTCCGTCGTGTCAGCTAGAAGTACAGATATAAAGTAAAGCACTCTTGCTGATGATTCGGCATTTCTTGTTTACTCTCCGGCCAGTTATCTGACCCTGAAACCATTCATGTGTAGCCAATAATATCGTTTCATGAATGGCTCAAGGAACCTGTTTACTTTTCAGGGACTTACGAAACTGCCGAGTAGTAACATGCTTTGAGTGGGGGCATTCCTTAGCGGTTAACCGTTCTTCGGAGGGTTGATCGTGATGACCGTATAGAATTTCACCATAGCCTTCAGCCCCGTTTGAAACTTCACTTTTGTTCCTTGTATAGCCTTCCGAAGACGTTTTATCTGATTGGTTTGTGCTTGCTCCTTTTTGCCTCCGGCGACCATCAGCTCAGCCGAACTATTTCTGTTCATTCCCACCAACCTACTTGTGCCCCAATGAGTAGCACGAAAATGCACACGAAATGATTTTCCGATTCCATTCAGCCGCCCCCACCCACGGTCGCATCCGGATTATTTACTTATTTTGCCAAATAACTTCTTTTCTTCAGGCTACGGGCGATTTATTGTCATCCTATTCACCTGGGGCTTTCCGCCGCACCACGCGTCGCTTCACTGGTGCCTACGACACGCTGACTGTTAAGGGCGTCGATTTATGTATGTCTGGTGTTCCTCCGAATGAGGTCCCCCTTCCGGAACCGCCTCCCATCAACCGAGACCTTGTTGATGGTCTTGTTAATGTTTCCGACCACAGTTATGCCTTGATGACTGAAGCTGGTCGTGTATGTGCCCGGCCAGATGAGCAGGAGATTCGTGACCGCTTCCAAACAGCAGCAAGGTGAGTCAACAAAACCAGCATTCTTCCCGGCTATTTGCAAGTTACGTTTTTTGCTGATATCAGATATCTGCTCTTGTGAGTCTGTCTAGTTTCCTTCTTTTAGTTTGACAACTGACAACTTGTTTTGATTTCTCATCCATAATATCGTTTTTCTGTGCTTTTGTGACCGATATTTATATAACACAAAATGCGTTTAATTCAGGACGGCATGACTAGTTGCATTAAAGAGGAACTTAGTGGCTCGGCGCAACCACTATGTCGCCTGAGATAACCTACGCTCCATACTTTATTTCCATCCCCCCCCACATACACCCACACCAGAGATGTGACGGAAAGTATCAGCCAACTGCTGACAATTTGTACTTCGGGCGTTACTGCAGAGCAGCGTGACTGCGAAGTCGCATTACGACGTCTCGAGGCGCTTCGACCGTTGCTAGAGAACCCGAATCGTCCTGTTAATCAAAAGACCTACTGTGAATGCGTAGACGAAGTGGCCAGAAGCATAACGGTACGTTCAATTTGTTACCGCAACTACGTTTTCCATAGAGTCTCACCACTTTCAGATCTTTACTCAGCTGCTTTATTCTCTAAAGGACTCATCGTAGAGGGGAAATGTGGCGAATCAAGTTAGCGGTACAGATCTTAATTAATCACTACTTATGGTTTCTTTTGTTTACTCGTAATTCTGATTTCCTTATTGGCAAAGGTACTGTGCAAACCCATTGTAATTCAAAGCGGGGAATATGAAGTCCTGATTCCCACCCACCCCATACGTTAACGGTTACTGCGTTCCTGTGTGTGCCCTGTGTCTTGTTTTTGGACCACATTTAGCGTCGCTTTGCTCCGGAGATTGATGTATCCCCGTCCATCGCCAAGCCAGTTCTCGTCAATCTGCGAATTATTTGGACGCTGGTATCAGCTAGGCTGAATGAGAATTCCTAGATACCGAGTTCTGTCGTAAACAATCGTGCTTCAGGGTAGAGATTAACACAATGCGGAAAACAATACGTAGACAGGGTACATGCGTTTCAAAACAGATCGGTGGAACGTTAGATAACAGCCCCGCCCAAACAGTGGTCACGTGGAACTCTTAACAGATACTTCATTGACTTCTTGTGTGAGCGTCTAAAAAGGAGAAAATGAAATGATAATAATACTTGGGAGCTGCGGTGTGGTACCGGACTTCTGAAATACGGGTAACTGATGCATTATGACTGGTACAAAATGTTTTTATTCACGTTTACTTTGTACAAGTTGACCGACTCTTCTAGGATGAAGTGCATTCAGAATGAGGGATCAACTAGCTTGCAGATTTTTACGCTAAGCTTTAGTTAGTGAAACCAGACTTAATTGCTAAGTTTCCGCACACAACCTCTCTCTCTCTCTATTTCAAGCCTCTCGCTGACAGTCTGCGAAGCATGTCAAACGCAGCGAAGGAGAAGCACACACAAGAGTTTGGTGCCGCCGTGCGCCAGTGTTCGAACTCCATGTGTCAACTGGTCGAAGAAACTGCTCAAGTAAGTGAATTGTACTCCGGTCTACCTGTTTTCTGGAAGGCGACCATGTATGTTTCATTTCCCAGCTCATTCCCACTCATTTGTTTTTCAGGCGGCCTATCTGATCGGTCTGGCAGATCCTAGATCTGAGCCCGGACGTCCTTCTTTGGTAGACCCTCAATTATTCATGCGTTCTCAGAGGGAAATTCAGCAAGTTTGTGATGCCATATGTGATCCATCAATTACCAATCGTCAGGTACGTCCATCTTCACAAAGGCCATTTAACGTTCATGTTGTATCTGACTACTGTCCTCGCTCCAGTGCCCAGTGCCGGAGAAAGACTCGCTGACAAAGAACACAACAGCTTAATTGCTAACACACGAGAGTGTGCAAGTACAATGGCCTCGCTCTGTATTTTTAAGGACACTATTTGACCTTGACCCAAGGCTCTCTGACGCTACATTCTTAAGGGCACTGTCTAACCTTGATCCAATGCTGTCTGATCGGCGTTTAGTGGAGTTCGAGGATCTCAGTAGGTTTCGGGTATTCTGGGATAATCTTCAGCAATCTGACCTGACAGTTTACCGCTTGCAACTCATATTATTGTCCTTTCTGTTGGAAGCACTTTTATATCTTGAGACACCCATCTGGTTTTACTCAATAAAGCGTTGGTTTGGAAGTCAGTGCTCTGCACTCACAAAGACGTAATTGTTACCTTGAGAATAGCATGGCCTTATTTATCGGGTCATGTGTAAACTGCATTTCATTGTTTGCTTACCTACGCTTTCTGGTCACCAGTTGAACTCATTTCGAAAATGCGTTGTTCTAATTAGTTCGTTCGAGTTGACGGAGGGGTACACGATGCTTTAAACACTCGTCTTGATTATACCTCTTACCGTTTTTAGTTTGTCCGCACTCGATGATCTCGCTCCCTTTGGTGATGCCCATCTATCTGTTGGGGTGCGGTGGTAAACGAGAAAAAACGGTTTTTCTTTTTTTAGATAATCACCCTATCCACGGAGATGGCTCGTAGTGCGAAAACTCTGTGTGAGGCCTGTAGTGCCGTCTCAGCACAGACAAACAACCCAGATGCCCGCCATCAGTTGAACGCACTTACCCGTGAAACAATGCAATCCATCACTGCACTCATTCAACGACGAGGGAACGTATCGACCGCGGCCGCGGGCAGTCAACTCGCCGAGGTGAACGGAGAGTGGGATGAAGCTAATCGGCAAGTGACTTTGGCCAATGCTCGGGGCGTTAGCTCGAATGTGGCACGCTTAGTACATATGGTAACACAAGGCCCGCAATTCATCGGGCAGGCAGCGCGTGTGACAGATGAAGCTAGAGAGGTGCGTCGGATATTGTGTATATGTCGCTTTTATTTCAGGACTATGTTTTCTGAAGGGAGTTTTCGTGTGACGTGCCTATGGTCCACTCTTCTGACTACGCCTCATTGATACAAATGTTGTACTCTGCTATCGATTCATGTTGAACGGTACATCTTCCTTTTGAGTGTTGAGTGGCGATTGGCTTGAAATGAGCGTAGGAAGCAAATAACGGTTTGGCAGGATTATTAGAGTTTATGTAACTTCGTGATTTCTCTCTGTCCTCACATTAACAGAAAGTGCATACGACGCTACAACCGAGCAGTATGGAACTGGACTAGACAGGTGTAAAAGGGAGTTATTATAGAGCTGAAGTGCGGTGAGAAGATCTTGAGTGCTCAGGTCGAAAAGCTGGGTATGAGAGTTACAACAGAGGATATGAATAAATGCTGACTTCGACGCACTAACTGGGATTAAGTATGAGACAAAAGGTGGGCTTCGTCTAGATTCTTATGCGTCTTATCTTCAACAAGACAAAACCAAACTCAGAATCGTGTCTTTCTTAACACACAAATTCAGTTTCAGGTGTCTGGTAGTGAGAAACTCTGTCTCGTGCATAGTTCAGCCCTTATTTTGATGAAAAACAGTCTTGGACATCTGGCATCCCATTACAATCTGTTGCGTCTAAAAAATGCACTTTACTGTCTGGTCCACATCCGAACGTACCTCCACATGTAGAAAAAGAAAAAAATCAATCGTTCAGCTGTTGGACCCTTTTGGCGCCTAGCTGCCATGCCAACAGAAGCAGGCACGAGGGCTGGGCTACTGCCAGGTTGCCCGCCCAAATCTAGACAGTAGCAGTGGTGATGCTGAGGTTGGGTTCGAACCACGGACCGTTCGGATCGTAAGCTAGTACCCTAACCACAGCTATGTTGAGCCCACACGTCAAATCACATAGATACACAATTTGGTGCGGAAATAGTGCACAGGCTATCTTTTACGGGATACAACAGTGTTCGCGTCAGCTTGGATGTATATCTTGGGTTACCAACTGAAAATGTGTTCCGTGTTACGCTTTTGAGGTGGTTGGAAATATCGCCTTTGAATTCCTACCGTATGTACCCTCTCCTCTTTGGTACAGAGGTATACTATGTCTCAGATAGTTTTTTATCAACAGTTCAAGATACTCATTCTTCCCTACACTTTCCTGTATCTATCGCGAAAGCAGAGTTAGCACAAGAGTCTTTTGACGACCTATGGAGCGTGAATTTTGCAGCGCAGAAACGTCTAGCTGCTGGTCTCACAATACAATTTGATTGATGAGAGCAGTCGGTTCTGTGGTAACCAAAACGATACCGAATTCCTGTTTGCCTTCCTGATCTTCTTGCGAAAGAATTTCTGCTTTTTCAGCATCACTACCTATGACAACTGTGCCATCTCAATCCGAAATGTCACCGTCCATATTTCTAACTTGCTGACCTCTTCTTCGTTTTGGCCATCAGATTATCGGGCTCAAACGGAAGCCCATTATCACCGCATCTATCTGCTTCTATGGGATACCGTCGGGCATGCAGTGTGCATTTCTTGTACACACTTCTAACAAGATACTTAATTTGTTCATGGCAGTGGGAAAGGAATAGTTGCTTAGTTGCAAGCAAATGGGAGTATAAACCTAAAACTAAATTGTACATAAAAAAGACTATACGCTGCCTAAGAGTGCTCTTACCGAACGGATTCAGGCCCTAATTGATTCAGGAATTTCACAAGTCAACTGGGCGTATTGTTTTGGGAGTGAATCATTCATGGGTCGCAGAGGATCGCCCGGTCTTTGCGATTTCCACAAGCCACTATGTTTTCCTCAAGGTTCTAGTAAATTGTGAGCAGTTTCATCTTTGATGCTTAAGATTTTTCACTCGTTTCCACATTCACGAGACTCAAAGTGGACAGCATTATCTTACCCCACCCGTTCGATAGAAAATTCTATCCTATCCCCAAGAATCGCTTTTACCCTAACCATATAGTCCTTTCTACGGAGAACGCCATTCTCTGCTCCGTCGTCCGAACATTGAAAAGCCAAACCAATCAGCATTAATTTGAACAAATCGCTCCTGTCTTCATTGCTGCATTTAGACTCACCGGTTGACTATTAGTGTTTTCAGACATAGTTTGTACTTTCACAATATTAACTGTACTCCATGCCACACACCTTCAAGCTGTTAAATCCAAATGAGAAGTTGTCTACAAGACCTTCGAAGTTGGGTAGAAAAGAACACCCGTTGTTTTGTTGAAAGAGATGTATTGCCAACCGATTCGCGGAAATCCTTGATGGTATTTCCTTCTTACAGGTGGAAAATGAATCCTCGCTGCTCATCGTCCGCATGGGCCAATAGATTAGGCCAGTCAACATGGTTCACATTGGCTGACGTATCTGGGTGAAAGATTGTGATCGAACTACGCAATCATAGTTAATACACGTGTATTGGTTGACTAGAGCAGTCGGCCATCTACGATAAAACCCTGAACAAGAGACAACTCACATTTAGAGCGATTATCAAGTTCCGCGTGGAATTGTCATTAGACTACCAGCAGAATTATGGTTGCTGTGCTACTAAATAGTACCACTTTTCTACCATAGTACACACACTCGGTATCCATCTAGACTCCTCGTAGACCAGTGAGTTTATCTCGCTTAGTTGCTTGCACAGTGTTTTGTTTTGGTAACAATGTGTCAAGACGTGCCATGGTATCATCCACTTCCTCAATTCGGGGCTGCTGATTGGTCACGTCGCTACTGATCATTAGCTGAAGAAAAGTGTCATACCTGTGTTTCCATATCACCATGTATCTATGTATCTATCCATGTGCTATTTCGTTGCCCGCATGATTCTCCCTCACTTGATCAGCTGTTGAAACTTAACTCCATCTGCTCACAGCCGCACACACAGTATTCCGATGTCAGTGCAACTAAGCACTTCAATTCACTTATGCGGGCCCTCCGCAGTATGCCTGACCATCCCTGACTCGTCTGACCAGGACGCCTTGTCAGTCAACTGTAGCTTTGTACAAAGTTAACCTACTTTTATGGGTATGAGTAGCATCTAATTATTGTTGTCTTCACCACCACCTTCCCACTTCCACAGGCTCAGCAGCCCGTTTGCTCGGCCGGTCTCTCCAGTTTGAATGCAGCCCAAGCTGTGTTGAGAGCCGCACAGACGTTGATTACCAATGCACGCTTAGGACAACCAGAACAGGCATTCTTATCCTTTTCTACTGCCAGCAAAGAGCTGTCTGAGAGTATCAAGGCGTTGGCTGCTGCTATGAGGTTAGTGCCATTTTCCCCTGACAGGAGATCAGTTCTCTTTTTATTACGTTTTTCTTTGTTTGGGCTCACACCATCGTCCGTTTTGACGGTGAATCAATCAAGATTTGTTCGTAATATGCATTTGTGGTCCTCCGTTTCAATGTCATACCCACCATGCTCTCTGTGATGCTCTCCAAACTGCACCTGACCACAGTACGAATTCAACAACGTTATGCAAATTCGTCCACACTACAGAAGTTTTCATTATATGTGAAAAGTGGATTAAATTATTGTTGGTGAACGCAGTTTGGCAAATCGTCTGACAACAAGAGATTTTATTTGCAATCGATTGGACTACAATTTTTGTGACCGCCATCACGCCATGGTATCATCCACTTCCTCAATTCGGGGCTGCTGATTGGTCACGTCGCTACTGATCATTAGCTGAAGAAAAGTGTCATACCTGTGTTTCCATATCACCATGTATCTATGTATCTATCCATGTGCTATTTCGTTGCCCGCATGATTCTCCCTCACTTGATCAGCTGTTGAAACTTAACTCCATCTGCTCACAGCCGCACACACAGTATTCCGATGTCAGTGCAACTAAGCACTTCAATTCACTTATGCGGGCCCTCCGCAGTATGCCTGACCATCCCTGACTCGTCTGACCAGGACGCCTTGTCAGTCAACTGTAGCTTTGTACAAAGTTAACCTACTTTTATGGGTATGAGTAGCATCTAATTATTGTTGTCTTCACCACCACCTTCCCACTTCCACAGGCTCAGCAGCCCGTTTGCTCGGCCGGTCTCTCCAGTTTGAATGCAGCCCAAGCTGTGTTGAGAGCCGCACAGACGTTGATTACCAATGCACGCTTAGGACAACCAGAACAGGCATTCTTATCCTTTTCTACTGCCAGCAAAGAGCTGTCTGAGAGTATCAAGGCGTTGGCTGCTGCTATGAGGTTAGTGCCATTTTCCCCTGACAGGAGATCAGTTCTCTTTTTATTACGTTTTTCTTTGTTTGGGCTCACACCATCGTCCGTTTTGACGGTGAATCAATCAAGATTTGTTCGTAATATGCATTTGTGGTCCTCCGTTTCAATGTCATACCCACCATGCTCTCTGTGATGCTCTCCAAACTGCACCTGACCACAGTACGAATTCAACAACGTTATGCAAATTCGTCCACACTACAGAAGTTTTCATTATATGTGAAAAGTGGATTAAATTATTGTTGGTGAACGCAGTTTGGCAAATCGTCTGACAACAAGAGATTTTATTTGCAATCGATTGGACTACAATTTTTGTGACCGCCATCACTTGTTATCTGGAGTGCATATATATTTGCATATATTTGCTCTTCGTAATTATTCTTTGCCCTGGAGTTCCACCATCATCATTGTCATCATCTGTAAGAACCGCGTAGTTCTACAGTGGTTATAGCTGTCACAGTCTCGTTCACTGATGACTCAAGGTGTGGTAGTATTAGGAGAACCAGCTGCGAACGCAACGGGACTACATAACTGCCAATGGACTAACCGTTTTCGTTGAGACAGATTTCACTGGTTGTTCTTCGCTCGCCCTTGACAGATGAGTTGTATTCTTAGTATCACTTCTGACCGCTTTTACGTGACAGTGATTCAAAGAGCAGCTGGCTCGCACGTTCGTTGATCTTTCTGGTTTGGCCAAGCGTACCAGGCTATCAATCGGCTATCCAGACCGGGGTTGACAGTAATAAGAAGGCAATAAGAGACTGTGGTCCACAACAGATAGATAGCTGCACATTGGAGGCGGTAGCTGATCCAATTGATGCGTAGATACAGGGTTGTCGGTAGAGTTTTCATTGGGGAGATTTGCGGATGAGCTACGCACTGAAGGCAATAGCTTGGATACACGATGGTGGGACTAGGCCATCCATGTCTGACAGTATCTCAGACCATTGACGTGTCCCATCTCTGAGTCCCCATCCAGGAAGACACCAATGACCCGCGCAACTGAGTTTGCTGATAATGGCTCTCATATATTGCTGCCAACTCACTGCTTTACCTTCCCTGGCTCGTTTCCACCTAGAAAATCTATGTCGTCTGCTTACTCGGTATCTATGAGCGGATTCTCGGGGCGCATTTCTATCCCACAGGTACTATAGACTTGTAGTGAGCCTTCCATAATCGTATCAGTGACAGAGATGAAGAGGAAAGTTGAAAGAGATCGGTTTTGCCTAACACTATTTGATTTGATGAACTCATTCGAGAGCTTCCCATAGACCACCCGTCCGCGGAAGTTGGCGTACAGCGCCTTAAGGAGGGTCAAGAATTCATGGAGGACATCTTTGCTGCATAGACACCGCTATAGTTCTTGACGGTCCATAGAGTCAAATGCAGCCTTCGAGTCAAGGAATACAACCATCGTTGGTTGCTGGATCAGTGTCGCTGTTCCAGAATCTGTCGGAGGGTGAATATGTAATTGATGCATCCTCTACCAGGACGGAGCCCAGCTTGGTTTTCACGGATCACTCTCTCTCTCTGTGTGTGTGTGTGTGTGTTCAATCAACCTTCAGAGCATAAGGTCAGAGAGCACTCTCGATGGTGGCTTTAGCACAGCGTCCACATACCCTTCTTGAAGCTAGGACTAGTTGTCAACATCCCGCAACCTACGGACACTTTCTCCTTACTCCTCATCGTACCAATGAGCTTTTTTAGATGGGCCACCAGGGATTCTCCACCTGCTTCGAAGAGGGCTGAATACAAACCGTCTGGTCCTGGTGACTCCCCATCTTTCAGTGCGGATATTTCGTGCTTTATTTCTTCCTCCTCGAAGTGTTTGGTTCACCTTTCCAGTTGGCGTTTTTTTCAAGCAAATTAAGGATCTGCCTTTTTCACTTGTCGTTTCACTAAGCGTTGCTTTCCTAGGGCCAGTCGGTCGTATCAATCCATATAGGGTACTGCTGTTTCCGGTAGCAAAACCCTTCTCCATCTCTTGTGCTTTCGATGTCCGCCAGAGCTCTCGGCCTTTCCTTAGGCTGTTCACTATTTGGCGCCATCGTACTTGTGGCTTGTTGGTATAGATTTCCTGCCATCTTTCGTAACTCGCGATCTCGACTGTACCTAGTGGTCATTTGATTATATTGGAGAGGTCGGACAGACAGCACCGAACGTCGCTAGCCTAGCTGCTTTCACATTTACCACTTACTCGCTACCAGTACATTAGTGATTTACTATGGTTGTTGAGCGAACTCATATAGATTCTGTTGAGTTATGGTCGTTTTTCGAGGATGCTGGATTGGCATACGTCTTGATGACTCGCAAGGGCTTGAAGGGAAACGAACTGTCAGGCGTGCACACACTATGGTTTGATCGGAATCAAGTTGTGCGCAAGAGAAATCGTAATCTTGATTTGTAGCTATCTACCGGTGGCTGATGGTCACGTGATCCATTTGGGCCAACAGTTGTCAGAAACAGTTCATAATCATCACACAACTGGAGAACTCGCTGTCCACTGCCTGTGCGACGAACATCGACTCTGAATCGATCGCCCGAATGTGATTCCCAGGAGCTCGGACGATCGACTTGGGCATTCGTATCACCCGGATCTTGCTCAGCGAATTAGCCCGAATAAATCTCTATAGAAAAAAATCTTTTTCAGCATCAGAACTGCAGTCCTTTGGGGCATAAGCCGACACTACAAACGGGCACCGTTTTTTATGTTGAGACATTGAGCTGGATAACCGGACGAAGCAAAGATGACTGTTCATTGTAATCCAATCCAGTAAGGCGCGTTCATCTCTATCGCTGATTGTAACTTTTTCGCCATATCATCCACGAGTCATCGCTTCTGGGTCACCGGACACATGGAGGGAGAAGTATGGAAAAGCTGAGTTCGTCCTCAGCGTTTTCAGATGCATGACCACGCTTGGGTCTTGTATGATTGTTTCGGAGACACAGTATACATCAATCCTAAGGGAGTACAGGGTTTCAGCGAGCATTGCTTGTTTGCTAATTTGACATAGAGGACGGATGTTGAAAGCTCCTATATAGAAAGGATCTCATGGATTTAGCAAGTTATTGCTTCGTTTATTGTTAATAGGCAGCGGGGTACATAAGGTACATGGGTCAATTAATTGGCAGTCAATCGACCCAGCAACGTTTGATTGTGTGGTGGGAAGGGGTTGGGGAGGGACATCAGCGAACTGTGCGGCCAAAGGATACTTCCCGGTTGCCCAGGCCGAGGAATGAGTTTTGGTTGAGGCACCCCACCTTGAGCCTTTGATTCAAAGTCTGACCCATGAAGCAGCGGGTAGCAGGGTTTTCTCTGGGGATCCTTCCCGGATCCGATGGCTCAATAGCCTAACCCGATGGTTAACCTCAGGAAATCTTAAAGTTAAAACACAACTTAATGGAATAAGGTGTTATGATGCGATGTTTCGGTTACCTTTGGCAGCCTTTTTCAAGGTTACCTCACACATGACGGTGAATTTGTTTAATAAGATCCGAGGTGTGTTTGGCTCGGAACTTTCAAGCGGTGCCTAAATTGTTTATTCACGGAGTCCCCTCGGTACCCGACTGCTATGTGAGTTGAAGGAAGCACTGAGGTCCAGATACGGTCAGCTAACCTAAGCCTAGACACTGTAACTAAAAGTGTCGGACTCGAAAGAAACATCTTTCTGACCTATAAACTGTGACTCGTTTCGTTCGCGACATTGACCAACACTGGTTCTAAAGTTACCCCTCGGCAAGTGTACACTATAGCCTGGTGCTAGTTATCAGCCTATCCCTGGTCGCCCGTGAGGTTGTCTAGCCGGAGTAAACCAAGTAAAGCGATGGTTGTTATCCGATAGGCCCCCTGGGTGCCTGCGGATAAAATATACACATTTTACTCACCAATAACGGCTTCAGAACAACGTGTAAGAATCACCTTGTAACCATACCATCAATTCAAATTTGCCTCATAGAAGTCTGTAGCCCTTCTGAAATCTTATGTTGGCAACCAACAACTTGAGCGAAGCTAACCTCCTCTTAAAACCTCTTGAGATATTCCCTCTATATAGCCTACAAATGTAGAAATGCTGGATGGTCCTGCTTGAATAGCAACAGTGATGTTCATTACTAATAGTACCACGACTACCCCCTTTGGGTAAACCATCCGAGATGGCTCAAGTGGTTAGAGCGCGAATTTACTGACCGGAAGGTCCGTGGTTCGAGCCCGACCTCCGCCTCTCGACTTCCCCTGTCTAGGCTTGGGCAACCTGACAGTATCCAAGCCCTCGTGCTTCCTTCGCGTGGCATGGCAGCTAGGCACCAAAAGGGTGTTACAGCTGACTGGTTAGCTTTTTTTTAAACCATCCTCATGAAAGACAACTCCCTCCCCAAGGGTAGGACAATTCTGATTGATGGCCAGAGTCACCTCCCAAAAAGGGACAAGTGTACTTGGAAAATTTATTGTCCGATTCCATCTGCTTCGTTCTCAGGGAACACGCTCCAGGACAACTTGAGTGTCAGCGCGTACTACAAAACATTAATGGATTGTTGCAAGAACTCCAGCGTGCCAAGATGGCCAGCATGGAAGGCCGTCTCCAGCCGCGTAGGGAATTGAACGAAGAAGGATTCCAGAAGGTCAGTTGCTGATAATGTATCTGTCTCACACCCATCAGCATCTTTGCTAATGGCGACTAGTTTCCAGCTGCAAGTGTTTTCCTGAATGATATCTAGTTCATTTTAGTTTTCTAACTTTGGAAACAGCACCATTCTGTTATATGGATTTCCACACCTGTGTAAAGCCCGGTTATTTACTGCCATCTTCGATAACCGGAGCCCACTCTTCACAGTGCTTGAATACGTTCACGAACGATGTCATCTAATGTTTATTTCACCTCTATTAAGCAACTGGCTACTTGTTGTCGAGCCCTCCTTGACGCTGCAAAGAGCGGCCCGTTCGGAAGCCGAACAACTGGGACACTCAGTCAGGGTCGTTGACTCATACCTTCCGGGAATTACATCCAGTGCTATTGCTGCCGCTTCCCGATCACCCCTGTCCAGCACGCAGTTGGTCTATTTGGAACATGCCAGTACCATCTTGGAAGCAGCTGATCAGCTGGTTCGAGTTGCCAGGGATGCTGGTGGAAACCCGAGGGTGAGCTAAAATGTGATTTTTCCTACCAATCAGATTAACTTAATTCAGCCTAGGACTAACAAATCGCTCTTTGATCCTTCCTTTACTTGCTCTTCTAGGCCACTCATCTCCATCCACATTTGGATGAGGCAGTTAGAGGTCTAATGGAATCTTGCGAAGACCTTTTGACTGCATTGGATGACGTGGCGTCACGACAAGGCCACGTGAGCACTCTGATCGATACGATCAACCGCTCGTTGGCTCAGGTAGGTAATCTTTTAGCATTTTGTTGCAGTTAGTTTTCGTCCCTACTTATTGATGTTGGTACAGTCGTCCCCTCAGTTTACAACAGGCTCCCTATAGGATACTCATCAATAAACAAAATGTTTCCCAGTACATGACAAGGAATGTCCTATGGATGGCATTTACTCCTAATGAGAAATACCTCTCAACCAATATTTAGGAGAGTCACACCTCTTGGTCATGATCACATGAGAGGTTGTAACGTCCCGTCCACAGTTCCCAAAAAAACCGCGGGGAACTGGCAAAACACAATGGTGCGTGATGGCCTGTGAAGACACCCAACACGATTTCTTTGTCATTGGTTATGACATCAGGCATCGTTTCATGGTCATCGGACCCCGTGCACCTGCTCAGTTGCAATCATAGGAGGCTTGTTAAACTTCCAGTTTATCGGTTGGCTGATTAGCTAGGCTACCCGTCCTTTTATTATTTGCGTGGGTAGGAGTCGATTTTGTAACGCATAAGTCCTTGGGTGTGTTGTGAGAATTTATTCCATTAACCGTCAACGTGGATGGCAGAGGGAGGAAAAATCCATTGTCAGTTATCTCTGATGTAAAATGGCCGTAGGAAGCTGAACAGTATAATATGATATATATATATATATATATATATA